CTTACACATGTCTGTAATCTAACCCTTCTATTCGTCCTGTGTACAAATTCATGTGTACGTTTTTCATTACTTTACACAGTCTGTTTCACGTAGATGTCTTCTCCATTCGTCTTCTATCACGTTTATATCTGCAATTTTCTGTTCCACTCTTTCCTCCTCCTCCCTCCAGTCACTCATCTTCGTCCTAGGTTATTTCTTTACCCTACATCCTCACCATCCCCCTCCAGCATCCTGTGTCATTTTCCAAGTGTGTTCCGCGTGGTATTTTTCTCCACCTGCCCCTCCCGCCCACAGTAAAAATTTTTTTTTTTTTTGGGGGGGGGGCACCCCCCTACATCCTGTGTAAGGTAAAGCGCAGAAGCGTTTACAGAGCCCAACAAGGAAACATGCTAAGTTCATGCTTGTCTTTATGTCTCATGAGTTAAGGGCGTAGAAGCCTGAAGTGTCACTCGTTTTTGTCATCAAGTTATTGGAAGCTCCAACAACTTTCCCTGAATACGAATTCGCAACTTTCGATTTACAGCAGGTATCTACTTTACTGCTAGGTGAACAGGGACCAAGGGAGGCTAGGAAGTGTGTCCGAACAACTTTTCCACCGGCCCGGGAATCGAACCCGTGACATCTCGCTTGCGAGGCAAGAGAAATCGTACTCTGTATTTTGATTTTTTTTAATCTGCAAATAATAGTGACTTTAATAGTCCGAGCTGTTTTTTTGTTTAACACGACAGCTATAAATATATATTAGAAGGATAAGTAATTGTCATTATTTCGTATTCAGTGTTTAATATTATCGTCCATTTAAGTGTTATATTAAGTTATGCAAGATCATAAATACATACATTCATACATACATACATACATACATACATACATACATACATACATACATACATACATACATACATACATACATACATACATAATGGAAACCCCTCGAAATCGAGGATGGCCGGCCCAAGGGCCACCTAGGCGTGAATTTAAGGTGTAGAAGCTGTCGCCAACACAACAACCACACCCCAAGTTAACAAGCTGCATGACCCAGTGTGAAGGAATAGTCTGAGAACACTGGACAACTCGCCAACTGCACTGGCTAACCATTACTCCGGAATACGATCCGAAGATCGATTAACATCCAGGTTCCCAATTACTGCTGGGTAGACAGACAGACAGACAGACAGACAGACATACATACATACATACATACATACATACATACATACATACATACATTCTCTCTCTCTCTCTTTTTTTTTATCATGAGGACAGTCTGATAAGAGTACGGTAGTATAAACCCAGAAACTCAGGGTTGGGTCCAAGGTACTATTGGTGTTGAAGCAAGGTTTAGGTCACGAGAAAGGCTTCATTTTTAAACCCCAGTGTGGCGCGTTGTAACATTGTCCACGTTACCCCTGGCTCATGGTTCAAGGTCGTGTCAACCAGTTCGATTACACCACCGAATTCGATGCGCTCCCCCCACCCACTCATCATTGTCACTTTATGTAACTTGCTGACAAAACCCATGACCCTTCAGGCCTTTTACGCCCTTAATGCATGAGTCATAAAGGCAAGCATGAACACATGCTTCCCAGTTGGGCACTGTAAACGCTTCTGCGCTTCACCTTGCACAGGATGTAAGGGGGTGCCCAATAAACTAGCCCCCTCGTGGGCAATCTGTAAAATCTGTAATCTTACTGCACTACACTAATGCCTGGTAATGTGAATAAGGTCATATAATATTTGCTAACTCTTAATGTCCATAACTATGACTGAACTTTTTTCTACGATAATAAAATATTCTTTCCGGCGTGAACCGTTAATTTTGCACATATAGTATACTTTTGTTTTAGATAGACATCCATGTTTATTATTAGATAGATATCTATGAAAGACCTCTGGATGATTTTTCTTTGTCTATTTATCTGTGTGTTTATTGATCGACTGTCTGTGACCTAGGTAATCGACTTAACCTACGGCTCCTGTCCTATCTACCGTTGTATACAATTGGTGTTTTAAGGAAAAGTCACTTTTACTATAGTTGGTTAGGAGGAGTGTGAGTCATGGAGTCGTCAGGTGAAGGAAAGTAATCTCACACTAGCTCCTGGGATTAATATCACAGGGTAGCGTGTTGACTCGCCCCACACCGCAACACCTCCACTACACGTCACGACTTTTTTTTTGTAACATTGACATTTACTCGCCTTAAAAGAATGTTTTGGTTTTGTGAGCGATGTACTATTATTATGGTTTTCTCATTAATGATATGGGTGTGATTATTACGTTGATTGTGATTAAATACAAGTATTGTGTCAATGAGAATTTAAAGCATTAGGGTACAATGCAGGTGAGGGATTTAGCCTCATTTGAGTGGCAAGTTACATAATTTGTTGGCTGTATTAACGATCGAGTGACTAGCTGTCTCTCTGATCAACAAGCTGGCAGGTTGGTTACATGAATGGCTAGTTGGTTATGTGATTGATTGGCTGGTTACATGAATGGCTAATTGATCTGAGTACTGGGTGGTTGTTTTGCTAGATGTCTAGTTAGATGATCGCTTGCCGTGCAGGGCAACTGGTCTGCAGAACTGGGTGACTGCTTGGTGCATGCTCGACAGGATGACTGCCTGGGCCTGGATAGCGTCAGGTATTGACCATGGAGTGTGTCCCCTTGTGGTGGTGACCTTGGCTCTCACACCTGGCTCTAGATTCGTCAGAGATTATTTACGCTCATTTTTTCCCTGAACTGTGTTTGGTGATTGTATCTAGTTCATGTTAATTCTCACAGTAATTTTGGAAGCTTTTTTAGACCCAATTGTTTGTATTTTAATGTAAGTTTACCAATTAGGCGAGAGCTTACATCTGTTACGAGCAGAATTCGACATACGACCCTTCGAAAATCGTGTCCCTGGGTGAGCACGTGGGGAGGGAGGGAAGAATGGTTATAACCAAGGTTGTTATAACCAAGATCTATAGACCCCACTCCAGTTACACGTATCGGGCGTGTCTGTATGTTTGTATGGATGCGTTTGTTGGGTTTGTGAGTGTTTGACTTGTTGGGTGGGTTGTTTGTGTGGCGGCGGGGATATACTGTATGTGAATGATTAGAAATAGGTGTATCATTTTCTGTGTAACAATGTCTTCATGCTTTGTTCAATATACTATAAATATCATTGTGTGTGTGCATGTGTGTACGGTACCAGGCCAGGTATGACAAGAGACGGAGCGAGGGTCAGTTAACATCCTGTTATGGGTAACACAAAACTAACGTGTGCCACCATCACTGCCTGATACCCCTCACCATCGACAAGTTCTCTTATATTACACTTCAAAGCAAACACAGAGTCTGGTCGGATGGGCCCCAGTCTTACTTGTTAAGTCCTAAAGGTTAACATAATTAGTGGTGGTATTAGGACTTGGGCTTATTTAGACTGTGACTCGTCTGAAATTATGGTAGATAGGTTGGGGTCCAATTTACCTGCAACACCATCAAATTCATAGTGGATCAGGGATTCTTATGGGAAATACAAAACATTCAGAAGTAATATCAGGGTGGACTCCAACTGTTATATGTCTTAATCGTTAATCCCGTTTCCCTCTCATAACTTTATTTTTATTTCTTCACCCCTCCCTTCTTTCCATTCCACCATTTACTCCGTGGTACTAGGTTCCCCGTTTCATGACCTTAATATTAAGTTATACTCATTCTACTTACATTCTGCCCCTTTTTTGTGATGATAAATTCTGTGGTCATAATACTGGACTCGTTGCTTCACCAAACTCAAGCTGCTGCTTGACACCTTAACCCCTTGCGTACGGGTTCCCCTCTGAACTGAATTGAATTGTCTGGCATTAGCCAAGTTTAATATTAAAAGTGGCATCCTCATAGTGAAGGATTACATTCGATAACTGTATATACTCGTATGTAAACGATAATTTTCAAGACCTAACGTGGGAGATGTTACTGCTTTTCCCTCTACCATTTCATGTTTTACTCTATTTGTTGAACTGGGGTGACCTTCTGATACCCATAGGCTCATATAATTGCACATTTTTGTCTTTGAATTTCTTTAAGTTATTTTAACGAATAATCTCCGACCTAAAGCAGTTGAATTAAAAATAAATAAATAACACTATAAAAATAGATTGTGTTAGTCGGGTGCAGGCTGACAGAGGTATGCAGTCACCATGACTCCTTGCCTATCTTTGTATTGCTACATCCTTAAGCCAGTGCCCCACGTCAGGTGTAGTGTGTAAATAACAAGGACTGCTCAGCAACATGACCAGTCTCTTCCATTCTGTGTGTTTTAGTTGTTTTCTTCATGAGTTGGCAGGAATGTCCAGGTTTGCTTCACTTTCTGAAATACAGAACTTCAGTATACGTATACAGGTATTTACTGTACTGTACAGTTACATTTTTACCCTTTTCTGTAGTTTTGACATAAACATAACTGTTTGATTCATACTGAAATGTTTCCATATGTAATGGAAAACTTTGAATGAAAAAATCCCCAATCATAGTGAATGGAAAAGATAGCCTTAGTGGCTGAGATTAATAGTTTTCGAGTTTTTTCATGGTGGTTGTGTCTTGTTTTCATAATGCATAATTAAATACAGCTGTATCCTGTATATGAATACTTGTAGTGTTTGAGGACTTACACAATCCATAAACCTGAAGATATTGGATACTGTAATATACTCTACTACAAATACAAAATCTAGGGCATGTCTGATTAGTACTGTACTGTACTCTATTAGGAAAATGCAGTCTCAGATGATAGATGGTATGAGGTTATGTTCTTTATCCAGTGTTTGTTGGGGGACTAAACTGTATTGTAGACTGGCATTTCATTGAATTTACTGCTACTGTTTCTTTAGAAAAGATAAATAATGTGTGGGTAAAGGAGATACCCCAGAGAGGAGGAAAAGGCACGTTGAAGATATGTTTTTGTTTTTTCCTTGCCACCTTCAGATTTACCATTACAGTACAGGTACTCTTAATTTCTAACCACATAACTCTCTCCTCAGTTGTCCACCAAGAACATTCCTGCCAGCACTCTGCCGTATCTTCTTGGATGAGTGTGCTCCAGACAACGTATTGGAGGTCACCGCTCGGGCCATTACTTACTATTTGGATGTTTCTGCCGAGTGCACCCGTCGCATCACCACAGTAGAAGGTGCCATCAAAGCCATGTGCAACCGTCTTGTGGTGGCTGACGTTTGCTCTAGAACCAGCAAGGACCTAGCTGAGCAGTGTATTAAGGTATGGCTTAGTATGGTATTCAGAAAAACACAATTATATTGAGTCGTGTTTCTGAATAATTCAACTGTGATCGAGTGTCTAAGATTAAAGAAAACTTTATTTTGAAATCCTTGTCTTTGTTGCAAACATTTGATTCCTTCTTTTATCATTATACTGTATATAGTTTCTTAATACTATTTTAATGTTCTATCTTCACAGTACTGTACTGTATATTCTCTTTGAAGATGTCATTGCATTTCCTTCGTTCTACCAATGCTTTTATTTCACATTTTTTCTTGATGCAAATGTAGTAATGTAACGTAATTTGTGTTCATTTTTTTGTTATGTAGCATTTAAGAATCAATTACATTGTATGAATCCATGGTGCATTAGTTATGAGACATATTGTATTACATTACAGGTCCTTGAATTGATTTGCACACGTGAGGCTGGTGCAGTGTTTGAAGCAGGTGGCTTGAACTGTGTTCTTTCATTTATAAGAGACAATGGTCATTTGGTTCACAAAGACACACTGCACTCAGCCATGCATCTTGTTTCTCGATTATGTGGGAAAATGGAACCTGCTGATCCAGGCCTAGCACCTTGTGTTGAATCCCTCTCTACACTGCTCAGACATGAGGTGAGTGTACTTACCAAAAAAGTACTGTATACATCCCATACAGAGGTATTTTGTATCCTTTGTACAGCACGTATATAAAACTTAAAAATAAAGGAAAGATGCATATACTGTTTTATTGCAATGTTGTAGCAATACTTTATAATGAAATACCTGTACTGTTGGATTTCTCAGCCTATTTTTTCACACTTGTGGATCTTTGCAGGAACTGGTAGCTGCATCATAAAGCAAAAATAAATAGTGTACAGTAGTCCTGATTTATCACAAAGATTTCTTTCCCGAAAATCCTTACTGTGTGCAAAATTGCAATTATGCAACATTAATTTTCCCATAAGAAACAGTGAATTGAGAGGAGGATGCATTCCTGGCCAGGAAATTTTGGGGTACTTGGGCAGGTTTTTTGTGTAGGAATGCTTATGAATTAATAAAGAATATGGAATACAGTGCTGTACAGATTAGAATACAGTTTATAGGCCTGTGTAAATTCATCTTCTCACTGCTGTTCATCAACTGGCCACTCGCCACCACCCCCACAGCTACGAAATACACTACAGCTACGAAATACACCCATTTTGACATCTCTTATGAGTATGACATTAAAACAATAAACATATAGTACAGTATAGGTTTGGTAAGGAGTGATTTATTGAGAGGAGTGTGTTCTCCCTCTTGTGGTCATATGCCAACTAAAGTGTCTCTGCACTTCTAGAAGGTTTTTGCACATGGAATAGATTTTTTCTTACTCTAGCACTATGAAAAATGAAATGCATTGCAATACAATAATTGAATAGTACTGGATACATATTGGTAAAAAATAAAATAAAAATTGCAGAAAAATTTAAACTGCATTATGTGAATTTGTGATAAACGGGGACAACATGTAGTTAATTTTTGTGACTTACAGTAAAGGAAATCTTGAATTGTCATTTTTTCAGGACCAGCATGTAGCAGATGGAGCTCTACGTTGCTTTGCCTCCTTGGCTGACCGGTTTACTCGGCGTGCCCAGGACCCAGCACCTCTTGCACAGCACTGCCTTGTCACCCACCTCTTAGCTCGCTTAGCTGGTAAGATCTTTCTTCACTGATAAAAAATGCTAATGTGAGTTGTACGAAACAGAATTAAAAAAAAAAGAAGTCATTTAATGATTAGTAAAGAGAAAATAGGAGGATGTATGAACAACTGATATCTTATATTTACTATCAAGGTGCTGCACCCCAGCAAGCACCAGGTGCTGCTGCAGCTGCCCCAGGAGCACCTGCAGCAACTACAGAAAACTCCAAGACATCTGCTTCTGTGTCTACTGTGATCTCTCTTCTTTCTACACTATGTAGAGGCTCGCCCAGTATTACTCATGTCAGTACTTATAATATTTGTCTTCTAAAAATAAAAGAAAAAATCTCCCTATTGCTGTCTTAGTGTTTCACAACATTGTAAATATTGTATTATTGTAGAGGTTGTATAACTTTATTTATTTTTTTAATTTTTCTTGAAAATCGGGTCATTATTGTTTAGTATATTGTGGCATGGCCATCTGTCTGTAATGCAGTTAAACTTTAACAATTAGCTCAGTTTTCAGTATATATGTGATGTATTTTGCACTATTCACTACTGTAGTTATGTTGTTTATCATGCAGGCAGAATGGAACCATTCTGCTCCCAAGTTTGTAGCAGATGATTGAAAATATAGAAATATTTTATTACGCTTGTGTTGCTTGTTACAAGCTGTTTATTTATTTGGTACATGAAAATTTGTCACCGTAGTTCACTTTCAAAAAAATTTACTTGCAGAATCTGTTGAGATCTGAACTGCCAGATGCTATTGAAAAAGCTCTCCAGGGAGATGAGCGCTGTGTGCTGGACACCATGCGCTTGGTGGACCTGTTGCTGGTGCTGCTTTTTGAGGGAAGAAAGGCTCTGCCTAAATCAGGAATGAGTGCTGTTGCGAGCAGACTGCCAGGTCTAAGACGAATGGACAGCCCAGGAGAGAAGACCCATCGCCAACTGATAGACTGCATTCGAAGTAAAGACACAGATGCTCTAATAGATGCCATAGATAGTGGGGGAATTGAGGTGAACTTTATGGATGATGTTGGCCAAACTCTTCTCAACTGGGCTTCAGCATTTGGTACTCAGGAAATGGTGGAATTCCTTTGTGAAAGAGGTGCAGATGTAAATAAAGGTAAGTCTACAGTTATTGCCAGAATGTTACCTTAATGGCTTTCATGATGTACATTTTTTGTTTCTATAAACATACAGTAATGGATTTTTTTTAATTAAAAAAATAATGTCATGATGGGTTTAGGTGATATGGCTTAGACAATTAGACAGCACTTGTGGATTTATTTTTGTTACTTTTGAAGATATAGTAAAGTATGGGTAAATACAGTACTAATTTTCAAGAAAACTTTACCCAAATCGATAGGGGTGATAAGAGAAGTAATGTATGTCAGTTGTTTCACTTACAGTGCTGTGGACAAGAAATAGGAACTATGATAATATGTATGATGTAGGCGGGTAGTCTTTCATTATCTCAGGGAGTTGCCACCTTTCCTTGCCAGTTGTTTCCACCCTGTGGGTTGGTGTTAGAAAGGGCATTCAGCTGTAAAACTTTGCTTCAACATGCCTGATGGCAACTGGGTCACCTGAGCTGTGCCCATCCCTGGGTCATTGCTGCATTTTTTGGGCTATCACTCTGAGTTTGCAGTGGTGAGCAGGGAGGAAAGAGAATCCTGTACTGGTTTTACCCTACAGTTGCCATCAGGTAAATGTAGCTAATACTGTACAGTATATGCAAGCGTGGGGAAATTGCCGTAAAACATTGATAATGATGATCGTAATTTATGAATATTTTTCAGGCCAAAGATCATCCTCCCTCCATTATGCAGCATGCTTTGGGCGCCCTCAAATAGCCAAGGTATTGTTACGTCACGGTGCCAACCCTGATCTTCGTGATGAAGACGGCAAAACACCTCTGGATAAAGCACGAGAAAGAAATGATGAAGGCCACAGAGAAGTTGCTGCTATTCTTCAAAGTCCAGCTGAGTGGCTGGTTGTTGCTGAGAGCAAAGTAAATATATACATATACTGTAACTCGGTATGAATTTACCCAGTCCTACTGTTATTTTTATTTCGACCTAAAGATGATAAATGTACAATATGTTGTTATTCATTGTTATGGGTTGAAGCATGACTAGTTCTAGGATTAACAATTATGTTACATTTAGTTTATTTAAAATAAGTCTGCCATCCCTGCCCAGGAAGGGAAAAAGTCAGCTGATGAAAGCAATGCAACAAACACAGAAGATTCGGAGATTGGAGAACCTCGTGGAGATGTGGAAATGGCACCTGTGTACCTTAGTCGCTTACTTCCAGTGTTCTGTCACACCTTCCAAGCTACAATGGTACATACTGTCCGAAAAGCTTCTCTCAGTATACTCAGAAAAATGGTTCACTATATTCCTGCACCTTTGCTTCATCAGGTAAGTGCTGTTTCATAATTATGAAGTTTTCACATCATCATTGATAATATACACCTACAGTACTTTGATATTAGAGCATTCGTAGGTTTTAAGCCAGTAGGGATACTTTAAACATACAACTTCTTAATTACATTTTTACTCTTAAATTTCATAGATGTAAAATTACATTTGTGACTAAACTAGAGTGCCCTTTTTTCTTCTTGAAAACGACCTCAAGCTGTACCTAGATTAAACTCGTTAATTCTTATGTTAATAGATTAGAATTATTCAACCCTTGGCCATTTTATGATTGCTTTACCAACTTTTATTTTTCTCTTTCAAGTATACCTGTATGATTGTAACTGAAGGTATTCTTTTATAAGCAAGATATTGTTTCAAAACTATATTCCTACTTTTTCTTCCAGGTTTGTGGTGGTGAGGATGCAACTATTAGCACAACCACAAATAGTACGAGCACTGCCACGAATACTGCCAATAATCTCTTAGGTTCTCAGCTGGTAGAAGTTATTGCTCTTGTCTTGGGCAATGAGGAGGATGAAGATGGCCATTTAGTGGCTCTGCAGATGGTGGATGATCTTCTCAGTAAGGCTGCACCGTTGCTGCTAGAACACTGTGCACGCTTGGGCGTCATCAGTAAGGTGGGAACGCTGGCTGGCCCATCTGACCCACCCATTGAGGAATACACTCCAATAAAGGGAAAAGAAGAACAGGTTCGTATGGAGAAATTTTTTTAATCGTTATTGAATAAGAGTAAGTTAAATGGTGAAAGGAAGCAGAGTGTGTTTCATAACAATGATTATAAGAAATACACATATGGTGTGTATTTAGTGGACCACTCTTTGTTGATTTCATATTGGTCTAAGATGAAATGAAATGTATGTTCAGATGAATGGAGTTTAAGGACCTGTTTCCCCTAGAAACATATATATATATAATTTTATTTTTATTTTTTCATTCACTGTCTTGCATTTTAATTCCTATACCAATGGAAAATAACTACCCATGAATTTTACAATCAAGTCTTTCTGCACTGAAAACAGATGGAACAGTTGTTGGTTACGATAATCATGTCTCTGTACTGTACACCCTTTACTTGTTACTCACAAGAAGAGTTGTACTCAACACTTTCACCTCATTGTTGGACTCTCTCTCCTTTCTTTAATCTTGCTCATGTACAATCTTTTATATCTCTTTTCTCAACCATTCCCTCCTAATCTTGGCCAACAAAATATTTAGTACTGTACTTTTTTCTTGAGCTACTGTAATACATTGGCAAATCATAATTCTGTAGGATGGTGATGACCCTGGCATGGAAGATGCCAAAGAAGTTATCCCTGGCAAGGCATACCACTGGCGGGACTGGTGTGTAGCACGGGGAAGGGATTGTCTGTACATTTGGAGTGATGCTGCAGCCTTGGAACTGTCCAATGGTTCTAATGGCTGGTTCAGATTCATCCTTGATGGCAAACTGGCTACCATGTATTCCTCAGGAAGTCCTGAGGGAGGATCAGAAAGCACAGGTACTAGGTTAAAGTAATTTTGTGTTGGATTTTATCTGTACGTATCTATATCTATATTTATATGTACTGACTTTTATGAAATGTTAAGATTTGTTGGATTGGGGAAAAGTATTTGATATATTTCGAAAGCATGATGTACTTTTAACATGCCATTTCTTTCCTAAGCAGAGAACCGCAGTGAATTCCTGGAGAAGCTTCAGCGGGCTAAGTCAGCAGTACGACCGGGCAGTCCCAGTCAGCCTGTCTTGTCTACTCCCGGACCAGCACGCTTAGTCATTGGGAACTGGTCTCTTCAGTGCAAAAAAGTTAGTAGAATTGCAGATTTTGTCCTTTGCTATTATTTGTTTGAATTATTTGCTTTGTAGTAAATAAACAGTATTTTAAACACTTCTCTCTTTGTCTTTACTCCCAACTCAAGTGCATAAATATCTTTATTTTTCACATTGTTTGTAGTACTATAATATAAACAGTCATGCAAACTTATTTATATTTCTTCCAATAGGAGGGTGAACTGCACATTCACAATTCAGATGGACAGCAACAAGCTACCATCCTCCGTGAGGATCTCCCAGGATTTATCTTTGAGAGTAACCGCAACACTAAGCATTCCTTCACAGCTGAGACATCCTTAGGGCCTGAATTTCATGCAGGATGGACGGGCCGACGAGGCAAGAGGTTCAGATCTAAGGTTGAGGCAATGAAACAGAAGGCAAGTTTCTTGTTCCTGTTACATATACAGTAATGTGATATATCATAACATTAGAAGTTCATTCATTGAGAGATACACTGTACCTAAACACACGCCAGAAAGTTCTGGCCGGAACCGGAACTTAAAAAATTCCGGCCGAAACCGGAACTGTAAGTGTAGCTTAAACAAACGAAACAAGTCAGTTTGATGACGCCCAGAAATGCTAATACTGTATGATATTATTGGTCTGTGTCTCGGTTTTTAAATTAATTTCTAAAACTGAAGTCCTGAAATGAAGATCAAGTAGACCACTTTGCTTTATATGCTTTACCGCTATTTAATAGTGTTTTTTATATAGGAATGCAACTGCTTCAAGGTAAGATTCACCTTGTATAGTATTTTTCCATAACTGTATGTCATATCACCTAAAATATATTAAGTTTTGCATTTAAGTTGTTTTATAAGTACATACATGGAAAAATATTAACTTGTAAAAAAAAAAATATCAATCTATGGATCTATGGGAAGCCACGAGTCTTTGACAGGTATGTTTCACAACAACCAGTCACACAGAGCCATCAGGATGACGCGTCCAGTAATTGTTTAGTTTAGCACTCAAGTCAGCTCACCCAGCTGCCTCACACACGACTTGGTGTCTCCCTGAATAGCAGCTGAGGTGGACGTAAGGAGGTAGAGAAGTTTAGTAAAGATGCTCTACTAAACCAATATCACAATAAAAAATTCCGGTTCCGGTCGGCAATTTTTCTAAAGTTTCGGCTGCAACAGGAGCTTCACAAAAATTGAGTTTCCAGCCGGAATTAAGTTCCGGTGCATCCCTATGTGAGATGATACTTTTGTTAAAAATTACTGTTTGCGCAAGAGTTTCTGTTATTATGGAAGGTAACTAGTATGGCGTAACAACACTCTTTGCAGAGGATTTTGCATAAAATCCCTTTGTGAGACTTCTATATGTGTCCTATGTTCAGTATAGTACAGGGTACAGCACATATTTACCTTATGGAAGGGTCGTTTTCGGTTTATGCATTCAGTTTATGGATAGGGTCCAGGAATGGAACTTTTCCATAAACCTGAAACAATTTTGAATAATAACATAGAATAACAGGGCATCATATGCACTGTTTATTAAATAAAGTGTGAAACTTAATGGCCCTTATGCTTGTGAATACCTGTACTAGGAGGGGCGCTTGTGGTAGAAGCGGTACCGCTCTTGCCTCGCAAGCAAGATGTCTCGGGTTCGATTCCCGGGCAGGCGGAAGTTGTTTGGACACTCTTCCTAGCCCCCTTGGTCCCTGTTCACCTAGCAGTAAAGTAGGTACCTGTTGTAAATCGAAAGGTTGTGAATTCGTATTCAGGGAAAGTTGTTGGAGCTTCTAAACTTGGAACTAACACAATCCGGAGGAGTGGTGACCCGAGGATCACACCCAACACAGACAAAACCAAATACGTGCGCTATGCGCTAACCAAATAAACGCAGTGGTGTAAAGCCACGGCACTATCTCTCCCACTACAATTCCCTTCCTAACCTCCTGCTCTTCCTCTGTCATCTTCCCTGCTCTGCCTTTCGCTACCAACAACTTTTGGAGCTTCTAAACTTGGAAAAAACCTGTACTAGTGATGATAAGGCAAAATACATTGATATGAGATTACTGGAGTAGATATAGGAAAAAAAGAAAGGTGGAATAGACTCAGAAGGAATAGAGAAACAAGAGTTTAGGGTCTATTTAATATTCACTTAGACAATTGAAGATATAGGAGGATATACCATAATGTACAAGAAATAATACAGTCAAGAATTATGTTATAAGAGGTATGAGTGTACAGTACAGTATATGAATGCTTAGTGATGATAAGTACAATAATGTAAAAAGACTAATAAAATCATTTAAAAAATCCTCTTTGAATAAAATGAAAGGGCTTTACATATATTGATAGGAGCTTTTGTCATTTTTCACAAAAAATTTATTTTTATTACAGGTCAAAGGTTTAGCTCGTGATGTATATGACAAATACTTTAAAGCTGCACAGACTCAACCACGTGGAGTTGTAGCTAAGCTTGGCAATATTGTTGCACAAATTGAAAGAGCTTGTCAAAAACAGGTAAGTTACTGTTTTTTAGACAGTCTTGGGTATGGCTTGATGCTGGTGAGAATATATTTTGCATACATGTGATACATTATAATATTGTTTCATTTTAGTCTGATTCCTGTGAAATTATAGGCAACATTTACTCTTTATGTGTGTTTGTATTTATTCATTTGTGAACTATAGTAAAATATTAGCAAGCCTAAAGTATACATAAATGATTGTTTTTACCACCATCATGATTGCTGCACTACAGGTAAGCAACAAAGGTAGTGGAGAATGGCCTGAAATCTTACGAGCAGCTGTTGAGGACCTAGTCACCCTCCTGCGTGATGAAAGCACAGTGTCTGCCTATGAACTTCATTCTTCAGGCCTAGTACAAGCTCTTCTTACGCTTCTTAGTCCAGACACAACTCATCACCTCCCAGATGACAACAGACAGTTTTCACAAAGACGGGTAAACAAGATGATCAAACAACGACGAAATGTCTTCAAAAGCTGTTTTATGGTAAGTCCAGTACGTACTATATGGTATTCAAGTCAGATCTTATGGTACTAGTTTAGACTTGATTTACTTGTTAATTAATCACTATGAAAATGTTCTTGCCAAGTTTCAATTCCTATTTCCACTTGATTTTATAACTATGTCCCAGACCACACTCACAGAGGAGAAGGATTGTGTACCAGCCTGAAATCATGAATGATTATTGAGTTATTATGCGCTCATAAGTCATCACTCAATCAATTTAAGATCATTTATTTATTCTTCCCAAATTTTAGTTGTCAATTACAGCAGTTTGTCATGCCAGGCTAATTGTTTAAGTATTTAATATGTCAAGTGCCTAATTTTTTATTTGAAAGGATAACAAGTTACATACATTTTAACTAATTCCTCTGTTATTCTATTTCAAATAAACCTTTTGTGTCTTAAGTACAGTAAACATAAATGACTTTGAGGTGGTAAGATTAATGAAGTAAGTTAAGGTTTATATGATATGTTTACCAAGTCATTTTGTCATGCAGGATAAAGTGGATGAAGAAAGTGCTACAATCAGCACATCAGTCAGCCCTGGTACCCAGCTAGTAAGAAAACTAGTGTCTGTGCTGGAGAGTTCAGAGAAGCTTCCTTTATATATTTATGATGTACCTGGTGCTGGATCTGGCCTCCAAGTTTTGAGCCGGCGCTTACGGTTCAGATTGGAAAGAGCAGCGGGTGAAAGTTCTTTGATTGATAGAAATGGCAGAACTCTAAAGGTAAGAGTTTCTTTTGCATCTTATTATATCACATTATCAGTTTTTCATAGATAAAGGAAAACATACAAAAGAAGGATACTGTACTGTATTGATAAATGATAGAATAGCATAACTTATTGAATAGAAGAAATATGTGTTTTAAAAATGAATGTACACTGCTGTGTGAAGTTTGATACATTATTGTAATTCCTGCATGTATTCTGTTCCACATTTTGGTTCTTAATAACTTCTTCTCTGGCTAGATGGAACCCCTGGCTACTGTAGAACAACTAGAGAGATATCTTCTCAAGATGGTGGCCAAGCAGTGGTATGACTTTGACCGTACATCTTTTGCCTTTGTTCGTAAATTGAAGGAAGGCCAAAAGATTGTCTTCAAAAACAGCAGAGAATTTGATGAAAATGGAATTATTTATTGGATTGGAACGAACGCCAAGTAAGCTTAATTATATACATGGGATATGTATAGATATCAAAATGAGTTATGAATTGATATTATGTAGCTCCTCATTCAGTGTTCAATTTTATGTTTATACAACAAATTTGTTTCATATAATACTGTATTTGTCATATTCATTCTATCATTACATATTAAGGCAAAATTTTTGCGGTACTTTATCAGTAATAAGGATATTTATTATGTCTTTCTTAATTATTTTAGAACTGCTTATGAGTGGGTGAATCCAGCATCAGTAGGACTTGTTGTGGTAACATCTAGTGAAGGTCGTAATCTTCCGTATGGGCGATTGGAAGATATTCTTAGTCGTGATGCATCTGCCCTGAACTGCCACACAAATGATGACAAACGAGCATGGTTTGCCATTGATCTTGGCATTTGGTTTGTGCCCTCTGCTTACACACTGAGGCATGCACGAGGATATGGTAGATCTGCACTTAGAAATTGGATGTTCCAGGTGAGACTGAGGAGTGAGAAATACATCCACTTTATGTACAATGTGACAGTGAATTTGTTTTTCCAAAAATCTCGCTCATGATTGTAATTGATAAATGGAAACCATTTCCAAAAGTCACTAATATGAAGAGGTGATTTTGTGCAGAATAGAGCAGATTTAAAAATGAAACTTCTTTTTGGAATTAATTTTAAATGTTAATTGCACTGTATTTGCATTTTTTTTTTCTGTCGGGCCTTAACTTGAAGTCAGTGTTTTGAATTAAGCTTTTTATTTTATTTTATTCTATTATTATTATTATTTTTTTAAGGAATACAGTTTCTTTATGAACAAATACAATGATAATTAAAATCTTGAACTACTACTACAGTATACCAGTTGTTAATAAAGGGAAATATTTATATTGTAGTAGAACTCTTGACATTAGATTTACTGTTCTAGAATATTGATGCATGCAACATTAACAAAACCCATTTTGTAGGTATCAAAGGATGGCATGACCTGGACAACCCTGTACACTCATGTTGATGACTGCTCCCTCAATGAACCTGGCAGCACTCACACCTGGACCATACAACCTCCATCTGAAGAGAAGGTTTGTCATTATCATTGTCTAGTTATTCATTATCACAGTCATTATTGAAAGCCATAAAAAAATTATCTAATGTTCAGCAAGATAAAATATATAATTTATGGTGTAGAAACCTGTCGCTATAAATAATAACCCAAGTTAGTTATTATTTTTTATCATTTTCCTTACTGAGATACGTGTTGTTGCCTGTCCAAGGTGATGGGAATGGAGTGAGAATAATAACTTTGTTCAAAATGATTTGTCTTTGTACTTGATAGTCTCATTTTAACTTTTATATTTTTTTAAATTGTGTTTTATTTGATGTAATTTATGTTTATTTGGATTGATGAAAGTGGATTTTGAAAGCCTGGAAATCATAGAGAAGTTCAGTGGGTTAAAATGGTCAAAACTACATATAAAATTTTTTCAGAAGGAAGTGGTAGTTGATGGTGTGAGAAGAGGTTGTGGTAAGAGAGGATACGATTGTGACGAAGATTTATCTCTTGTTCAGTCAAATGAGAATAATTGTTATTAGTCTCTGTAGATTGTTTTTCTCCCAAATTTATTAGGATTCATATTAATTGAAAAAAAAAAGCATATCCATTGTAAGACAAACAATAACGGATGATATTCTTGGGATACATCTTATATTAACTATCTCTGCTACGTGTGTAGTACTAATACCTTTGAATTTCTTCACAGACTGGATGGAGACATGTCCGTATTCAGCAGACGGGAAAGAATGCATCTGGTCAGACTCATTATCTCTCACTGTCTGGGCTGGAGCTGTATGGTACAGTGACTGGAGTCTGTGAAGATCTAGGCAGAGCAGCTAAAGAAGCAGAAGCTAATCTGAGGAGGCAAAGAAGACTTGTAAAATCACAGGTGAGGTATTACACCTGAAACTTACATCTGGAAGACATATTGTTCTCAGTGAAATTTATATCTTGCAATTATACATGTTAATTTCCTTGAAGTTTTCTACTGTACATGTCTTCTCATCTCATGTAGATAAGAGGAATGATCTTAATTCACTGATTGTGTTTCTTCATAATTTTGAAACACTCCTTATTCAGGTATTGTAAATCACTTCTATTTTAAAAAATCAGTTTACATGTATCTCATGATTTCTTCTAGGGCAGTCTGTGGAAAACTTTCCCTCTTCATACTTGTCAAACCAATTATAGAACTCTAGAGTCATGAACATCATCATCATCATTTTATTATTATTTTATTGCCATATTCCATGCTTGCATGAGTTGACCATGATAACCTGATGGCAGCTCTCAATGCTGTATGATCTGTAACTGTTTTAGTCGGATTATTCAAGCATTGTTATGCCACTGTTAGCAAGGGATATCAAGTGTTTCACGTTTCCCTATGTTTTTCTTTTTTTCAATTTATATCTAGGCAGGGGCAGTTTCTTTACATGTGGGATTCTTGATATTGCTGTTTGGTCATATACAGTATAGTGATGCAAGTGTTAAAGCAAGATACAGCAGATGGCACTATGCTATGAATGTAAACTTATTGAATTACTGTAGATGAAGCTTTTGTTTTTAAATGATTAATTTTCTTATGAGCTGCCTTTTCTGGCAGATGGTAAAGCACATGGTGGTGGGAGCACGCGTGGTACGGGGTCTTGACTGGAAATGGCGTGATCAGGACGGCAACCCTCCCAGCGAAGGAACCATTACTGGAGAACTTCACAATGGTCAGACTTTTTCTTTATTAAGTATTGTTTCTGTCTTAAACACTTCTTATGGGAGGGTTTGATTAGTGGTAGCCATATCTACGGTATCTGTTTGTACATACATCCTTTCATTGGTTTCAGCTCTATAATTAGGGAATGTTTGTTCAATATCAATTTTTTTTTTTTACGGGAAATAGCCCACCCGGACATAGGTCAAACGACCCATAATGGGGCCTGGGAGACGAAAAAAGAAAGAACAAAGAAATTGAAGATAGAGAAGAAAAAGGTTATACAGTACTGTGTTAATATTCGTTTGTGGAAGTTGTCTGTCCATTTGCAGATAAGTTATGTATGGTTGAAGCCAGACTTGAAACTTTCAGTAAGGTGTGTAGTCATTGGTTTCCACTTTTTAACTTGAGAATGCTTGCCTGAAGCTTCAAAAAAAATAATTGAATTTGTTTTCAGTATTGGCATTCATTGTCAATTTGTTTGAGTTAGACCCCCCATGCTCATAAAAATAACCTGTTATTGACTTTCTCTTAATAATTACAGAGCACTTACACTCACAAATTAAAACTATAACCAAACTTAATATTTATCAAAACTACTGTTTGTTCTGTTTAATATTTGTACTCGGTCTTTTTTTGAGTTATGGCGCCTTATCAACTTTGAAAATTGATAGACCTGTTTATTTCTCTCACACTGTTAAGATTGTCACGAAACTTGGTGAGAGGTACTTTTTTTTTTTACTTTAACATACCATCAAAAATAGATTTATCATTATTGTCACACTATACCTGTAGTTACTTTGGTTAACATTAGTGTTTAAGTTCACTAGACATATGATAAAGAGATATAGATTTCTGCTTCTGAAGCTTTGTGGATCAACACGGAGACAAAGGTTCACTTTTAAAGTATGAATTCAAGTTCAGGATATGATCTAGAATGTGTGAATGTTTTTTATTTATTGTTCTTGCCCCTTTTATGTCACTCTCTATACTTTTACCCTGTTATTTGCCCTTTTCTTGATGGTTTTGATACTCCCATGATCCATACCACACAAGTGAGGAGTAGTATTGGTACATACATACATACATACATATTGATAGATCTTGATAAAATCACACGGGGAAAATGGAAACAACGGAGTACCTTAGCTTTCGTCTTGAATAAAGACGAAAGCTAAGGTACTCCGTTGTTTCCATTTTCTCGTGTGATTTTATCAAGATTTATCTTATCCACGTTTTCATTGTGGATTTACATGAAATATTGATAGATGTACAGCCATTCCTGCCTGTGATTATACTTTGATGTAGTTATTCATCACCTTCAGTGCGAGTATATTTTGCAGTATACATTTAGTTTGAAATAACAATTTGTAACAGCTTGTAAAGGAGTTTTCCTAAAATTAATCAGTTGAAAGATTTTAATTAGGTTTGTATGAATTTAAAAAAAGGAGAGAGAGAGGGAAGTTCACTTCTGTTTATACATGTACAAGCCAATTACTTAAAGGTATCTGTTGAAGTGGATTACATAATATAGAACTTTTTTTTCTTTCTTGGCAAGTATGTTTTATACACCTTTGTGTTCTAACCAGGTTGGATTGATGTCACTTGGGACCATGGAGCTTCTAACAGCTACCGTATGGGTGCAGAGGGAAAATATGACCTCAAATTAGCTCCAGGCTATGATCCAGAGTCTCCTCAAGTGTCCACTGTAACAAGCACCATCAGTAGTGCGTCCAGCAACACTGCCATTACTGCTGCATCTTCTGGCTCCATAGCAACAATTACTACAGCAATAAAGTCTACAAAGGTGAGGTGAACCTGTTCAGTGTGTATGGAGCATTATTGCAAGAAATATTGATAGTTTTGATTTCAAGTGACATATTGTTAAACTCTGATGCAAGTTTTTGTATAGGGTAATAATAATACATTACCAGTGTTTATAAATTAAATGCAAAGCTTTTGAAATGCTAAGTGGTATCCTGTGGTATATTCCTCATTGCACGAGAACATTGTCAATATATCTAGAAATTTGTGCCAGCTGATTTTTATAATGTCATACATTTTACGAGAATCACGTCGTTTAAAATAAATCACTTTTATGTGTGTACAGTAATATCTCCGTTAGCCGGAATCCATCTAACCCGGAACTCTCCGATAGCCGGAATTTAAATTCTCTCGGAAAATCGTTCCCAAAGCCGGAATTTTCTGGAAAATTCCGAATGTGGGAACGATTTTCTGCGGGGTACATTTTCCGGAAAATTCCGAGAAAATTTTTCCGATACTCGGAAAATTCCGGAGATGGGGGATTTTTTTCCGAGGGCGCATTTTCTGGAAATTCCGAGAAAAATTTTCCGTTACTCGGAAAATTTCGGGGATGAGGGATATTTTTCCGGGTTCGAGAGATGATGTAATGGGCAATTTCTGGAACTTCCGAGAAAATTTTTCCATTAACCGGAAAATTCCGGGGACGAGGGATTTTTTTCCGGCTTTGAGAGTCGTCTCGTTACCCGGAAATCTCTCATTCCCGGAAGTGCTCTGCACCAATTGTTCCGGCTAACAGATATCGGTGTAATTCCCTTATTTACCTATTACAGTTTTCTTATCTGTACTGTACTTGAATATTGTGTGAAAGTTCATAAATGATGTTATGTACAGGTGGTTAGCACAGATGTGACCCAAGGAACTAGTGTGTTGACCAGTCGCAAATGTAGCTCCACACCATCACTACCTCAGGCAACAACAGATATTCACAAACATTCTGTCGCTGCCTCGGAACAAGCAGCCTCAGACGATAATCTAACTGCCAAAGTAAGTGTGCATTTGTTGTCTTATAGATTTCCTCAAGTTCTCTTAAGTGCAGAAGCTAAAATCTTGCCCTCTACATATCAGTGGTATTGCTTTCATTTGTGTGGTCTTTGTAAATTTTACAAATCTTAATTTTTTCTGATATTTAAATAATTGCTTCCTTTTTTACCCAAAGAAAAGAAAGGGAACACTAGCAGAACACATCTGTTACAGCAAGTAGAGAGATTGAATGTCACCAAATGAAAGGAGAGTGTATGTTATTTCTTATTCTGGCCACCCTGCACCATAGTGAGAAAGTGCTAGTAAGAGTGAAAAAAATAATAAAAATAGATGATAATATTGCATTAACTTTTTCTACACTTAATTTCTTCATTATTGACTCTCCAAATAGCAACTGTACCCTTATCATTGTTGGCATTTTTTTTTTTTTTTTTCAGTATCCTCTCGCCATATACGCTTTTGCCTTACACATTTTTTGCTTATGCGTACTGTTATCACTATCCATTTTTTCCATTCGCCAATGAATATTTTAATTACACAGTTGATTTGCCAGAATTCCTAATGTATAGTAACATATACTGGGTAATGCAGCTTATCAATGGCACTCATACTTTGCTGTGACATGATCCTGTGTGTTTCATTTGCCAGTGACTTGTGAGAAGGGAAAATAACATTTCTCAGTGTTCTGTTTATGCATGCCCAGAGCTTGGACTATAGTAAACCCTCGAAGATCCAGACCCGGGAAATCCAGATTTCGGATGATCCGGACAAAAAATGTTGGTGGTCCTGGGCTGAGAAGCCTCCTAGAAATTTCCCTAAGAAACATTACCAAACCAGAGCAAAGAATATTTTAGGCCCGTGGGCACTGCTTGACCTGTCAGTTGCTTGAACACAGGTGCCCAAAGAGGTGGGAAACATAAACCGAATTGGCAATTGTTGTTTGTGGGAATATTATTTCATTCACTCAAGTAATGATACAATGTTTCTTATTATGTTATCATAGGTAAATGCATGGTTTATATATGGTAATTTGTTTATCACTACATTAGTACTGTATTTTTGGCGTGTCTTATTTCATTTATTATTCGACGGAAAATTCGGACAATCGGCTTTTACAGACGGGTGGTCCCCCCTTTTAGTCCGGATCTTCAAGGGTTCACTGTACCTCCAAATTGAATATTGCACTTTTTGCAAATTTGACTGTTGTTGTGTTGGGCTTTATTCTGTTGATAATGTCTCAGAAGTGAAGTGCAAAGAAAATCTGAAAATCTATGACATCAAGAGACATAGTTGACTGATTAGATAAGCTAATAGGAATCTAAGTGAACCTTGTCCTCCTCCTAATCTGCCCTCACCCTGTCCTCCTCCGTTCTTATATATGTACAGTGAATGCGGTAGCCTATAGTGTTATAAAGTTATTTTATACAAGTTATATGACTTGAAAAGTGTGTGTTGTGTGAGTGGCTTGGTATGAGGAGGGACAAAAAGAGTTGTTCAAAAGTTAGGGATATATTTCTCAGAACAGGTCCCATTTTTCTCGTGAGGTCAATTACTTATCTTACATGGGTTTTTGATGGAACACATCCCCCATGTAAGGCGAGGAGCTACTGTACTACTAGATCATTCAACTTGTAAGTCATTAATATAAGATGGCTCACTTCTTGCACTTGTTTTCTCAGCATTTCATGAGATTTTTCCAACTAACTTGAAGTATGCTCATCCATTCTCTAATTTTTAAGAAAGAATTGTTTGACTTATGCTCTGAAATATCCTCTCATTTTTATTCTTTATGCTGGATTAAGTTGCGTAAATATTAGTTTTTATTACATGATGCACTACTTTTGATGGAAATGATTAAGATTATATGGAATTTTTCAGTGACTTAGATTGTTTTAGTAGCTATAATTCACCATTGTGGGACTATGATAACACTGTAATAAGATGATGGTCATAGCTGGTGTGTAAGAAATAAACATGAGTTATAGTTACCAAGCATTATACTTACAGTACAGCAGCAACAGTTATTTATGATAAATATTGTCATTAGGGCTTTTTATCTTAATTTACCAAGATCAACAGGATCATATCACATTAAATATCAAAAAAATACTTTATAGTAAATAATAATTACAAATAATATACAAGTAACATAAGTGATATAAATAAGATATATAATAACTAGATGGGGAAAAGCTCAAACTACAGTTCATTTCAACATAGTGACAGTGCAAGGAGTAGTGTTTACTGGGAGTGAATATACTGGTCTATTACATGTTATTGATAATTTTTACAATGGTTGGGACTGGGCTGTTCTTATAGCGATCAGTTCGTGCACGTATGGGCTGGATGTGGTTGTGGTGTCGAACAGCAATTCTCGGGCTAGGGATCTCAGGTGGTAGTAGGAGCCGGTGTCGAGGATGGTGTAGAAGCTTCTTACCAAATTTGCAGATGAGGTTGTGGTGATGGTCAGTGAGAGTCGAAAGGGTCAGTGTGTCAAGCGCTTCTTGATATGTGGAGTAGGAAGGGGAGAGAATAATCTTGCATGCCCTCTTTTGCACTTTTTCTAGGTGTTTACGTTGTGTGGCATTTAGGGAGGAAGACCAGGTGGGGTGAGGCATAGGTGAGCTTGGGAAGTATGAATGTTGTGTAAACACTGAGGAGCTCGGGTGCAGGAACTCCGAGGGACTTGAGTCGGCGGAGGAGGTGGAGACGGAAACTGGAGGATTTGACAACTTCACTGATGTGTGGTTTCCAATTTAGTTTGTTGTCTATGGTGACGCCGAGGAGCTTCGTGGAATCTACAACCTGGAGTGTGTTCGGACCTAGAGTAATGGAAGGAGGTGGGACAATGTCGGAGGAGAGGTTGATGTGCATAACCATGGTCTTGGTATGGTTGATGGTGACATGGTAGTTGGTGGCCCAGTTTTGGAGACTGTTCAATAAATCCTGAAGGGCAGTATAGTTGGGAGCAGAATTGTTGACGCTGATCCCAATGGTGGAGTCGTCGACATATTTCCAGTGAGCAGGGGTTTCTCTTAGGGCATCATTGATGAGCATAAGGAAGCAGAGTGGTCCCATCTTGGTGCCTTGGGGGACGCCACAGGTGAGTGACTGAAAGGTGGAGACAGCCCCTCGGAAGCGTACAGCTGGCGTCGGTCACTGAGGAAGTCTGTAAGCCATGGTATAAGACTTCTCCGAAGCCCGAGGTCAATAGCTTTGTTGATGATTATATTGTGGTCGACTAGGTCGAATGCTTTAGTGAAATCAATGAAGGCGACAGCTACAGACGTTTTTCGTTTCTCGAGATGGCGGTATATGTAATCGAGAAAGCTGACAAGACAGTGAGTGGTGGAGGAAGTTTTCATGTTGCCAAATTGCTGAGGGTCTACGACTCCTGCAATATCAGCATAAGCCCAGTCGAACACAAAACTTTCACAGATTAGGCTGGGTATTGGGGTGATTGCAATAGGTCGTAGCTGATTTAAGGATTGTGGGCTGGTTGACTTGGGCACTGGTGATACATAAGAGGTCTTCCAGTCAGCTGGGCATCTGGCTTGACTGAGAGAAGCATATATATGTGTGGGTACAACTTCTATTTGTTGTCTTAAGCTTTTCTTGTGGCTTTCTACACATGTCAACTAAGATTTTCTGGTTTCCTGTACCAACATAATATTGGAAGAGGAAGGAAGATGATAGATTGAAAATTTAAAAAAGGATATTGATAAGTCAACAAGTGGTGTTTGAAACACTTTAGACATTTTAATTGGCATCTTTGCAATTAAACCCCATTCATGTGTATTGTTTAAAGCACTATATAGCATGACTTATGGAAGAAAAATGAGTGTAAGTATTCTTGTTAGTCAAGGGGCTTCAGTTTTGTGAATTGCCTGTAATTGCTATTTTTTTTTTTTTTTTATAGCTCGTTTTTTTATTTATTTATTTTCTTATTTGGTGAGACATTTTAGTACTGTACAACTGAGAATTGCACCTCGATGAAGGTTGGTTTCCATTTTTTGTGTTAGGTTGTAGTCTCACAATGGGCTAGAGTATGGGATCAGAACGTACTGTATATGAAAATCATATGTTTATTCAATTTTTCAAGACTTTTTTTATTTCCTTTGTGTCTCAAATGACTTCTTTTTTTTTCAAAGTTCAGTTGTTTTTTTAGATATATGCTGACAATAAGTTGTAACTACAGTATATGCTTAATATTGACTATTTTATTATAGTTGAATATATTATAAAAATGTGACTGAAATGTTTTTCTGCCTTCAGATTGAATCATGAACCTCAAATATATTTATTTGTATTTCCAGGCTGCTGAGACTGTTGCAGAAAATGTGCTAAGTGTAGCCAGCGCTGAAGCTCTACTGAGTGTTGAGGGCAGTGGGCGTGAGAAGGGGAATGAGTTGGCATCTCTAGTACAATCTCTCAGCTTAAACGACCGTGACATCACGTCTGAATTCTCCGATGCCATGTCCTCCTTGGAGTCTGTGCTCAATACCTCTGATATTAAATCGGGTACGGGTGATATGAGTGAGGCTATGACTGTGATGGATGTGGGCTTGCATCCAACTCCCGACACCAAAACGGGTTCCATGGGACTAGCTGGGGATTGCCCAGCTGTGACTGTGAATGAAGAAAAATTTGGTGACATCAGCAGTATAGGCATTAGTGGCAGTGTGAGCAGCAGCAGCAGCAGTATTGGGGGCCTCACCAGCAGCAGCAGGAAACGATGTGGGGGTGTAGTAATGGGTGAGGGTAAGAGGGACTGCACTGGGCGCTCCACCATGTCTTCACAGCCTATGAGTGTTAGTGTGCCCAACCTGACCAGTGCAGACTCTGAGCCATTGACACATAGTCTACTGGAAACCTTTGCTCAGGTTGCCAGGAGACGGGGGGGATCAGCTACCATGCCACCCGGCACTGGGGTGTGTAGCAATGGGGGGATGGCACCCCATGCTCCTAATTTGCCTGCTAGTGTCAGTAATGTGCGCACAGGCTTGGGGCAACTGATAGGTGGGCCACCCCCAAGCCTGGCCCACCCAGTGTTCTCGCCCTCCACCCACTCCATGTCCAGTCTGGTCCGTCTGGCCCTCTCCTCACACTTCCACCTCCCAGGTTAGCTCCAATGAACACGTCTCCCAAAGTCCATGACCACAGAACTGGGGAACTTATATTTCAAAAGAACAACCATAAACTACTGCATCATTGGTGTTCTATTGAAGTATTGGACTTGTATGGTATCTTATGGTATTAGAGTAGCAACACTTAATAACTTCCAAACTGTCCTATTTACAGCTACTCTAGTAACAATCAGATATCAGGCCTTCAATTCTGGTGTCAAGGACTTTCTGGTAACTGCTAGATACCAAGAAGTCAGATATGATGTCTAAAGAGCAAGGATCCCTCAGCAGATGCATGGGGTTAAACTCGGTTATCTTAGGGGGAATTTTGGTTTGGATTAGACATCATATTTAACCTGTGGTATTTGGAAGGAAGCTCTGGTAACACACACCCCAAATCTTTTCCAACACTTAACCTGATAATACAGCTTAACATGCTTACATAATAAATGAATACAAAATTCATATCCATGAAATAAAAGTTCTTTTAACTTTTTTAACAACTAAATGGTATGATGCACTGTATGGTTTAGTGTTTGGCTAAGGTTTTACAACAGGGGTCTCTCTAATCCACCTCCCAGTTGATTGTTGTCATTCCATTGATTCATTGTTTTTATTTCTCTTTTTAAGTCTGTCAAAGATACATCTCTGCACCAAGATAATGAACTCTGGTGGATTAGGGGTTACTTCACATGCTTTCCCTTGTGTTAAAGGTTTGCAATAAGGATTCAATATATATATATATATATATGTAAGGATAGGTGACACCATTAAGACAACGTGTCACCCACATCACAGATATTGAAATAGCTGAGTAAACTAAAAAAAATTACCATTAGTTTAGATACCAAGTTTTTGTATGATGTTTCCTGTACTGCTCATCTATTTCAAGGTCTGAAATCTGGCTATGAAGGTTATTATAAGTAATAAATGAGCTGTGCATGCCGAGGCTGTGTAGTTTTAAGCTTAAGTGATGGCAAAGTGTGGGTGGCTTTTGGATATAAATCTTCAAAGGTTCATCTGTATTGTACATATCTAAATCGGGTGCACAAGGTTATTTTTTAAATTGCATGATTTTTCTGGGAACTTGTAGGTGGAGGTTTGATTTGGATTGCTGCAAGTAACCTGTTCTTATTTCAACCAAAGATGATGCTTCTTTACTAGTATTGCAGCTTTGCTTCTTAAATCATATTACTGTTGATAATAATGAGTTTCAAATGACATAACATCCATAGCTTATTAATCACTGGTAAGCAGTGTATATGATATTCCCTTATGTGATCATCATTGAGAATATTGTATGCAAGCAAGCCATGCACAGTTAGCCTACTGAAGGTTTGTAATGTAAATTAATTGGCAAAGATTTGCAAAACTTGCAAATTAAAACTAAATAACAAGGAAGGAGAAATTGTAATTCCGAGACAATAATACAGTATTAATGTGGCATTTATAAGTGTAGGATTGACAAGCATCTGCAATAACATGAAAGTATTGAGAGTTGATATGCTAGTAACAAGTCCCTTTTAATCACAATCATCATCATCATCATCATCATCATTATTGTATTGCAGCCATACTTGTATGGGTTATCCATGATTATCTGATATCACAGTGCCATCAGACAAATTTGAAGCAAGTTTTATGGCTGGATGCCCTTCCTATCGCCAACCCTCTTGAACAAAGATTGAACATGGCGTTACATGTAGGAGTTCCAAGAGCTCTCGGCTTGCAAGGCAGGTTTTCAACTCCTCAGGCAATCAAAGATTACATGTCTGTTGTATTTTAATCATGGGTATGATATTGAGACTAGAGCTAAGCTGATAGAGAATACAAAAAACCCGTCCCTAATTTAAACGTTGGACAGAAGTTCATTGTTTAATTTTTTGAAGATGGCAGCAGTTGTCAGAAACAAACTTTCCAAAATAATTGTAAGAGTAAGACAAACAAATTATTTCTTAATGAGAATGAACTTCATTGAATATTAATATTAAGCAGGGACAGGCTGCATTATATAAAGTGAAGTTTTGTATGTAATTTTTGGGTGGGCCCATTAATATCATCTGTCATACCAATGGTGATGTAAATAATTAACTCTAATGTATAACATGTTCCTTGAGTAAAATTATGCCTGCTTCATTATTTTTGAAGGTTCTAAAGGAACAGTACTATTATCAAAAGTAGACATTATTAATGATTCTCACTTGGTATTAGTCATTTATGTTAAAAATAGCTCCTTTAACTTTTCATCGTTGGTTTGGGCATCATTGAGTTTTGGATAATTGTAAAAGAAATTCTTTTGGCTGTCAGTGTCAGGATGTGAACTTGAAGGTTGTATCTTGATTGTTGCTAAGAGTATTTGGTTATAATTTAAAATGTTGGATTGCACATACCATTTGTTTTAAAGATGACAGATTGTGGCAGTGTTAACAAGGGGAATTGATCAGGAGATAAATTTTTGCCAAAAACTTCCTGTAATCTTGCCCATCGCAGTAGGTTAACAACTCAGAATTGCTCCAAATACTGCTGATGGCATTAGTGTCATAACTTACACCTGCAGGGCTTGTTTGGCTTTTAGACAAGTATTTATTGCAGTTGTAGTTAGATTATCCTATGATCTTCCAGCTGCTAGTGTGCTTTTATTATTTGCTAACCCATCAAGTCATTGTAGATGGTTTGTTCTAATAAAGGGTTGGGGGAAGTTTCAGTCAAATGAAAAGTTTGGTAGGTGCAATTAGGAAACTGTAAATTTGTTTTGTGGTTACTGTGCCAGTAGTGAAGAACTACTAAAAGTTAGCGGATATGCCATGGTCCAAGGCAGCTTGTAGTTGTCAGTCATTTGATGATTGGGTACTACTTCACATGAGAGGAACAGAGTCTGGCCTACTTTATCATTAATATAATCATCAATGTTTTTCAGCCATTTTCCATGCTTGCATGGATTAATTGCAATTACGTGATGGCAGTGCTCCATGCTGCATGGTCTTTTGCAGTCTCTCATGTCAAGTTCTTAACTCTGTCATTTCTTACAACCTCTCCCCATGTCATTCTTGGCCTACCCCACCACATTAAGGCTGATGCACCTCTTGACCCAACTTGTCCCATTGAGTCTCTTCTTATGCCATCTCAGCCTGCCTGTATTGCAGGACTTAGCCAATACTCTCAATACCCAGCCACCCTTTTACCTCTGAACAGTGCTGCCTTTCTTTCAGTGTCACATTTCACATTTGCTTCACCATTCTCATATCACCTCAGTCAAGCCTACTAAGTGTCATCCTCTTAAACTGCCCATGTTTAATTGTCATACAACATCACACTTCTCACACCAGTGGCATACTTTCTTTTTTTTTCATGTGGAGGGAAGGTCTTGCTGTCAATAAAGGCAGCAGCAACTCCTTAAACTTCCTCCAGCCACTTTTGACTCTTGCAACTGAGCAAGCTTCAGCACCTCCCACCGGTACTGATCATGTCACCTAGGTAACAGAACTCATTGACACAGTCCAGGGACATATTTCCAATGATAAGTTTTTTCAATCTTGATGTGGACACATGGTTACCTGCACATACTGAACACTCAAAGTTAGTAACATCCTGCAGTTTGCCATGTACTCCACTGCACCCCTTGTGTACCCACCTTCCAAACATTTTTGAGTTGCTACCAATACCTTGCAGGCAGCACATGGCCATTTTCCATTTTTCACCATGAGGTCCCTCACCCACACCACTTTTTTCCCCCCTTACATTTAGTCTCTTTGACTCTTTTTCACCCTACCATTTCTTAAATTTCTCCATTGTCTCTTCAATACTGTTTGTTATAAGCACTAAGTCATCAGCATACTACAACTTTCAGGGCAGGCCAGTCCTAAAATTTTGCAATGTTGTCTCCAGCACCATGATAAACAGAAGGGGGACTCAGGACAGTACTCTCAATGAACCCCTACTTTCACCACAGACTCCTCACTTTCCTCACCATTTACTCTTACAGAGGTTTTGAGCCCTCCTATACTGCCATAGCCACTTGAACAAGGTTCTCCTCAATTTCTAGCTTTCTCATTGCCCATTTACTACTTCAAAAAGGAGTAAAAATTACCATCTGTTCTTCACCATTAGTTAGGGTACTGCAGTGTTCCCTGCACCAAGCAGGGTCCATCCTGTTTCATGTTAGCATGAATTAAAGATCAGCTTCACACACTCCAGAGTAGTTTAGAATTATTTTCAACGGTAATAGGATTCAGCATTTAACCAGATCTCTTGAATTGCATGTATTTATGACGATTGTGATGAGGCACAAGATACATTTAGTCTATAGTGAGCTTGTAAAGGCATTTGGACAAATATGTAGGGAGATTCCAAGATATTTTTATTAATATCCCTCATTATTGGTTCAGTGTACTGTACTGTAATGCACTTGTTCAGACACCATTATGCTGTGAAGTGTTCAGGGAAAATCTTATCTTTCCTGAAGGACTGGTATCGTTTCTCATAGTTTGTCTTGTTCAAGAAAATGAGTATCCAGTACTATCGGGTGTTGTTGGACTAAACCTCTGTTACAGTAGTAGTCTGTCAGTCGGGTGGGATACTGCACTAACTGCTAGCTAGGAATCGGGGATCAACACTTGCCCAACTACCTTGCATCATTGCAAGAAAAGGCTTATTTGCATGGAAGAAAATTTGTGTCCTAAATTCTCTAACCTTAATCCTTAGTCCACTGCCCATTGTGTGTTCCATTATACACCTATCAACATCATTCAACGCTTTCTACCGCAGGGTTAATTTTTATCAAACGTCATATTGATGTTTTACAAAAATTTTTGTCAATAGCCCAAACATATATTTGGTATCCATACCATACAAATATAAGTATGCATTTTCAGTGTCTCTTGAATGCCACTGAACTGTAAAAGGTTGTACACTCTGGCAGTGAAATTGAGCACTTCAGGTTTACTTAGGTTATTGGAAGTTTCCTGTGAAAAGATGATTAAAAGACAATTCTTTAGTTTCTATTGTAGACAGAATATTGCCATTTTCCCAGAACTGCAAAATGATTGAAATGAAACTATTAACCCTTGGTATGAGAGTAGGGGAACTTATTTTTTTTTTTTTGGGGGGTTCAGTCTTTACAGAAAATTTGATAAATACTGTACAGTAGTATCAAAGGGTAAAAATGGTTGCAAGTGGATACTAATAGATTTCACTTCCAAAATTAATTTACTGAAGTTTTTGGGTTGTGTTTTGAATTTTTGCATTTGTGAACATATTTTAGGCATCCTGTAAAGTCCTGCAGCTTGCTTGTGCATCCATCAGCAGAATTTGTATTTTTCTGCCCCCGTCTGTGCATCCTTACATGTGTTTTTATCTTGTATACTGTACACAGTAAGAGGTAATCGACTTTCAGAGATCAGAGTTAGGTCAAGGCTTTATGGTCATGTGTACTGAAATGCTGCTGTTGCTTATTTTGTATGCATTAATAGATGACCCATCTATGTTTTTTCAAAGTGTTTGATTGGATTTATTTATTCATTTTTTCAACCTTGTCCTTGCCATTCTGAACTTCCACTTTCTGCAGATAGCAAGTGCATTTGTGTTTTATAAACACAGGACTTGTTACATTTTGAATTGCTTGGCTGATGAAAAAAAATTGTGTGGATATTCAATTTGACAATTCCTGGTCAAATTTTCCCATTTTATGACAACTTTAAGGAACTTTTGATTTCTTTAGTAACCAGGTGTGAAAACTTGTTATTATAACTTTGATGTTTATTTCTACAGAAAGTTTAGCTGGTAAAATGTTCAATCCAGGATTAGCTTTCTATACTTCGAATGCAAGTTGAAGTGAATGTGGAGTGCTCATACTTCTCTTTCAGTTCTTACTTTTTGATTTCTACACTTCTTTGCACTACTCTTCTCTACCATTTCCTCCCTGTTTTGAGGTTTCTGGTTTCTTTGATTCGTCCCTTGTAAAAGTGGTTAACTCTTTAAAATGGATGCAGAATGGGTTGTGGGAGATCTAAGATTTATTTCATGAGAAAATTTTTAGCCAACTGCTCATATCTTCGTGTACTGGATCCTGGTGAAAGGGGTCAGTTTATATTTTGTTTATATCCGTTTCGGGTTGGGAGGAGAACCGTTGTTATGAATATGGTGCATGGTTGTAGTTGGCTATGAAAAAGGTGTTGGTCTTGTATGCCCTGTTGAAAACCATATACTGGATATATTAGTCTTGTATTTTTTTTAAACATAGCATATTCTGTGCACTTTTGTTCTTACTAACATTTGGAAAGATCTTAATCATGGCTATGACTAAGTTTGGGTGTTGTGACCAACAAGTTGTGGTGGTGGGTGTAGAGCGTTCACACCTAATAAATGTCAGCCTTTTAGGAGTACAGTACTGTATACACAAAGAGGGTAGGAATTAATGATCTTGGAGTCTGATAATCTTATACATTTTCTCATGGTCATTGTAGTGATTATTATAATACAAAATTAAGGACATTGGAATATTTCAAGCTCATATGGCCTTAGAAATTTTATTCATACTGGTAATTTTCTGTGACTTAAAAAAACAAATGTTCACAATACTGTAGATCTATCAGCTTTAAATTATACCCTCTGGTTGCTTGCTTTAGAAAGAACTGATAAATTAAAAAAAAAATATATATATATATATATTATATTTTCTTTATTAGTGAGGCTTAAAACCATGAGGGGTAAGTACATTACCTGTATATTTAGCCTGGTCGCAAACTTGCTAACACCATACTTTAACAATTGAAAAAATAATATCTTGGAATTTTTAAAATACAGTACATTCCTTTTGAAGACATACAATTATCACGTTTTAAATTGACAGTTTTTCTTTGATGTTTGCTATTTGTCTTGTCTCCTGGTCATTCATCATTTTTTACAAACCCTGTACTGTAATAGGTAGGCAGTAAATTACGAGACAGAAGAAGTCGGTTTGGGTTACTGCTGGCCACTACCACTCATGCTGTGAAGAACAATGATAAGCTATTATGCACATAATTTATTTTTTGTGTCCATAGTCTAGCCATTACTTTACATTGATCGACACCATCAGAAACTGCAAACTTCAGGTATTAGAAATAGTTCTCTCTGACCAAGTAGTGTAATAACTACTGTAACATTGCTTGCAAAGTTAATTATGTATTTTTCATTTATTTATTTATTTATTAGGGGGAGTAGTCAAAGTTTATTTTTTATACATATATTGGAGTACTGTATAGTGTACAGTATTTACATTCTGAAAGCCTGTTATGGCTCATAGCCAGAGACAGATATTTTTTAATGAAGAAAAAACACAATTCTATATGTTTATTTTATGTATTTTACTACAATTCTAAGGGCACACACTACCCAATACTGGTTTAATGGAAAATCCTTTTAGTACAGTATATGGAATGAATACGTATCCAAGTCACTTCATAAAATTTTTTTGGATTTTACTGTACCTGTATATTACTACAGTGTCAGTATTTGAGGATTGTAGTATTAAATAAGAGTAGGGAATTTGTTGAGATATGTGAAGTATTCTGGCACTGTGAAATTATTGGGAAGTTTGTTTTACTTAATATGTGATGAGGATGAGTGGATTATTTGAATGCTCTCTCGTTCTATTTTCTTCTATGGTATTCTATATTCTTTATAATCATATTTAGCATGAAATGGAATTTTTATAGATAGATGGCTGCAGAAATCAAAGATCTTGGGAAGTATCTAAATGTTTTTCATCATTTCTTGATTCAATCCATATGACATAAGAACAGCTATAGACTCAAAATTATATGAAATTTTAATAGCTAGTTAACCTGTTTGATTCATATATAATTTTTAAATTACAGTATTTTTAGGTACTCAGTTTATTATTAGGGAGAGAGTGATGTCTATTTGATTAGTTATATGTACACACTATTTATCTTTATTTATGGCACACACAGAGAATGAGACTGAATGAATTTCTGTGCATTTGTGTTTATTCAGCAATATTGAGTTGTGCTGTTTTGATGTCAGTGCTTATAGATTTGAATATGATAGGCAGCTCAATTAATGAAGGAAGATTTTTCAGTGTACGGACATGACAATGGGAGAGCTAGAAGAATTATATGTGAAATATGCCACCCACATAATGTCATTGCATATTTATGCCTCATACAGTATATTTGAAGAAAATGTTCTTCTACTTTCTTGTTTAAGAATACAGTAGAAAATAATTCTCACAAAATTATTCAGCTGCAGCATGTAAAAGTATTATACTGTAATGTTATCCATGTAGGGTCTTGGTCTTATTTCTTTCTCTTTCAGATCTTGTTGGTTATTGTATGTTAAGGGTTTTGTCTGTTACAATATTAATTTTGTTTGTTAATATCAGGGTGATGAGTTATAATCTCTCTCTTTACTTCTTGAGTATTGTGTCAATATTTTCAGAGATTTAGGGATCATTAGATATGCTTCTTATGTGTAACAGTGATAGTCATGTTTAATGCTATTTCATAGTCAGTTATGCATTCTCAAACCCAGAAGTCTTAATAGTATTACTGTTCTAACTACTTTCTTGATTCACTCCTTTTATTCACTTTCCTCCAGTTCTATCAAGCGTTGTTTACCTGCATGATGTATTATATTTGTTATACTGAAGTAGTAACCTCTCAATATCTAGTATGAGTAAAAAATATTATTATAGGTCTGAAATATCTTGTTAGTGAATTTTCTCTCTTTAAAACTCTCCATATGACATTTGTCTTGTCTACTAGTATCTACTTCCCATAGTTCTGGTTTTCACGACAGTTTAGAAATGTGTTCTCTTACTTGTGGGTGATGTAAGTTACACAATTTTCTTGTAGCTTCCTCTCTTTTTTATTTGCCATCTTGTCTTATACATGTAGGTGCTTTGGAATATGGCTGGTTTGTTAGTTCCAAAAATTTATAGCGCAAATTATTGTAACTTAGTCTCGTGCTCACATTTCTCCAAAGAGTATCAAATCTATCAAATTTCTCAAACTAAGTGAGGGAAACATTAATTCCATTACAGGGTCTGGGCCTTTAAGCACAGCTCAGAGTTATCCTACTCTGACATCAGGCACAACCTCAACTACCTCCTCCACAACAACTACAGGTGCTGCTGCTGCATCCTCCACTACTAACCAGCCATCCACCAACCTCTCTTCCTTCCCTCATGGCCTCACTATGAGCCTCACATCTACATCTAGTGATTCGGAGCAAGTCAGCTTGGAGGTGAGATTTGTATTACTGTATCTTTGTTTTTCTGTTTTCATGAAGTAATTGTAGCAGTAAGAATACTTTATTTTACAACTACCAAGAAGTTTGAACAGGGTGTATACCCGATTTAAGTACTGTAATAGGAAATGCGGAGAGACTAAAGGTTAGATAAAAGAATGGGGAAGTGTTGGTTATCTAGAGGAAGTAGGTAGTAGGTAGCTATCGAACAGGGAGGTACTACCGCCTGGGAAGATATTGGAAGCATAATGTGTTGTCTAATGGTAGACCCTGCTGCTATATGGCATCACGAAAATTGTGACCAAGTCCCAGGTTGCTGATCTATCTTTCTGCCTCATTTACACACAATTCTGTCTCTCTTACTATTGACAACACTACAACTAAAACCTTACTCATTCTTGATCTGTTTTATTCATTCTATTTTATTCTCCTATGTCAGTTGATATTAATACTGGAGTGGGGCCTTCTCGGATGGGTCCCACTGGTCGGGAAGGTTGTGGACCCCAGGGCCGACCTGATCATCATCAAGCTACTGGGGCCTCAACTGACGCCACTACGGTTGCTGGAGGATCGGCTTTTTTCACACTTCATTTTTCCAACATTCGTGGACTGAGATCCAATTTTTCTTCTGTGGAGCACCATCTATTAACCTCTTCCCCCAATCTCTTACTACTCTCCGAACTTTAACTGACCAAAGCAGCTTCACCCAAACCTTTTCAAGTCTCTAACTACAACCTTTATACCTACTTCCGTTCTAAGGGAGGTGTATGCGCCTACTGCAATACACGTACACCTACAGCCCGACTCGCGGATCTTGAATCTCCCCTTTATGATGTCATCTGGCTCAAAATATCTCTACCTACTGTGACTATCTTTCTTTGTTTCCTATACTGTTCTCCCAACTCTACCAACTATTTCGAACTCTTTGACTATCTCACTTCTTGCCATGAGTCGTTGCTATCCACACACCCCAACACCGAGATCCTCTACCTAGGGGATTTCAATGTACATCACAGAGAGTAGCTTGGCTCTGCAAGGGATGACCCAGGTGGAGCTGAGGCACTCTCTTTTTCCTTACTTAATGATTTGGAACAAATAATCAAACACCCTACACGCGTTCCTGATCGACACGATCAACTTGCTAACATTCTTGATCTTTGTTTTACCTCTAACCCCTCACGCTATTCATACTCAATTTTTGCCCCCTTAGGACCTTTTGATCACAACCTTATTTCTATTAAATCAAACTGGGCACGACCACCTCCCCCACCCCCCTCTAAACGTCAACTATGGCACTATCGGAGGGCAAGCTGGCGATCCTTGCGAGAATTCTTTACCGACTTTCCTTGGGATGAATGTTGCTTTTCCACTCGGGATGCCTCAGTATGTGCTGACAGCATTGCTGAGGTTATACAGGGCGGTATGAGTGCATTTATCCCATCTTCTACCAAAACTTTCACATTACAATCATGGTTTGATCGCTCCTGCTCTCTTGCTTGCAGGGTGAGAGATAGGGCATATCGAGCTATGAAACTATCTCCTTCTCCTATTACCCACACCTCTTTCATTACTTCTAGGAATCGTTGTAAGGCTATTCTTCGTAGGGCCAAGCGGAATTTTATTAAAAGAAAGACTGCTGTCCTGACTAATTCTTCCTCTAGTAAATCCTTCTGGTCCTTAGCTAAAAACATCTGTATAAACTTCTGCACGCCTTCTTTTCCTCCCCTCTTCCGTCCCAATAACTCTATAGCCAACTCTCCCCCTGAGAAAGCCAACCTCTTTGGCACCTTATTCTCCTCTAATTCCACCTTAGACGATTCCCACTCTACCCCTCCTACCCCTGCATCTCCTACTGAACCTATGCACTTTCCTATAATCTCCACTAGCAGGGTTTCCGGTGTGTTATCCAGGTTGGATGTGAGTAAGGCGCATGGACCGGACGGAATACCCCCTCGTGTTCTGAGGGAGTGTGCTGAAGCCCTGGCCCGTGCTTGCTCGCTTCTTTTGCCTTTGCCTCAAAACCAAAACTTTTCCTTCTTCTTGGAAGCATGCCTTGGTTCAGCCCATCCCGAAGAAGGATGACCATTCTAATCCCTCTAACTATCGCCCCATTGCCCTAACTTCATCCCTCTCTAAGATTTTCGAAACTATCTTGAACTCCCATTTTCTCCGTCACCTTGAACGCCTTTCTCTTTTGTCGGATCACCAGTATGGCTTTTGCCAGGCGAGATCTACTGGTGATCTGCTCTCCTATTGCACCCATCTTTGGTCATCCTCTCTTAGGGATTATGGGGAAACTTTTGTCGTGGCCCTCGACATCTCCAAAGCATTTGACAGGGTATGGCACAAGTCTTTGCTATCTAAACTTCCCTCTTTTGGTTTCTCTCCCCCACTTTGTTCTCTCATCTCTAGCTTCCTTGAGAATCGATCCATGGCAGTTGTTGTCGAGGGATCGATTTCTCGCTCTTTCTCTATCAATAGTGGCGTCCCACAGGGTTCTGTTCTTTCACCAACTCTCTCTTCTTTTTATCAATGATTTACTTCACACTGCAACTAATTCTATCCATTCTTACGCCGATGATTCTACTCTTCACTCTTCCTCACATTTTCCCCTTCCTCCTAACTCTCAAACTAGATCTGTTTCTAGAACTGATATCATTACTTCTATCAATGCGGATCTGTGCAGCATCTCTGAATGGGGAGATACAAACTTGGTTAAGTTCAATAGTAACAAAACTGAATATTTAGCAATTACACTTTGTAAAGTAGACGATCTCCCACCAATTACATTTCAGGACGCTATCATCCTCCCAAATTCTGAAATAAATATGTTAGGCCTCACCATTTCCTCCAATATGTCCTGGAAATCACACATCCTTAGTATAACTAAAGCTGCCTCCCGAAAGTTGGGAATGCTGTACAGATGCCGCAGCTACTTCACTCCTGAGCAGTTGCTCCAAGTATATGAGGGATTCATTCGTCCTAACTTGGAGTACTGCTCTCATATCTGGGGTGGCTCTTCTTCTGTCCAACTATTAGATAGGGTGGAATCAAAGGCATTCGTCTTACTCTCCTCCTTTAGTCAACAATCTCTCTCCCCTTTCTCTTCGCCGCAATGTTGCTTCACTCTCTCTCTTTTACAGGTACTTTAACGGGCAATGTTCAGTGGATTTGGCATCCTGTGTACCGCCGGCAAGGCCGTGGGTTCGTAACACACGTCTTGCCCACCGTTTCTCCGTGGATCTCGGTCACACGAGAATAACCCGTTATAGTACCTCCTCCTTTCCTCACACAGTCAAGCTGTGGAATGCTCTGCCTTCTTCTGTGTTTCCATGCTCTTACAATCTGTCTCACTTTAAAAAGCTGGTTTTCCGGCATCTTCGTGGTGTAGATTAATACAGTATAACCTTTTTTTCTATATTTTCAATTTCTTTCCGTTCTTTTTTTTTTCGCCCCCCCAGGCCCGCGTAGGATCGTTTGACCTGTGCCCGGGTGGGCTAATTCATAAAAAAAAAAAAAAAAAAAAAAGTATGGCGGATACCATAATAGGTTAATGATTTGACACCATGTACAAAAAGGGATAAGGATAAATATTAAGAAAATTTCTTTATAGTTTTGTTTACATCATGATAATTTATATACCATTACAATGCTCAGTCAATACCACTCTGAACTCCAGTCGTAAGAGACAAAAGTTCAATCCCATGGCCAGGCAGGCAGGATTGGTGTTGTGATATTCATTATTGTGGGCACTGAACTTTTTACCTGTCATGTCAGGGTTCCAGACTAAGTTAACATTTCATAGTTAGCTATATACAGTATTTGACATTTTACAGAACATAAAAAAATTTATTTATTTTTATTATTATTATTATTTTTTTTCTTCTTCTTCTTCTTCTTCTTCTTCTTCTTCTTCTTCTTCTTCCTTCTTCTTCTTCTTAAAGTGGACTAGCCCACCGGCATAGCTCACTGACTCACTTAAGGACCTGGGGAAAATGTAATAATAATAATAATAATAATAATAATAATAATAATAATAATAATAATAATAATAATAATAATAATAATAATAATAATAAAAAGAAATAAAAAAATAAAAAAAAAAAAGATCAAGAGTGAGAAACAATATATGTATGTTGTGTTGTCAATAGTAAGAAAAACAATTGAAACCCTGCAATTGTGTGTAAATGAGGCAGAAAGTCAGATCAGCAACCTGGGACTTGGTCACAATAGCAGGGTCTACCATTAGACAACACATTATGCTTCCAATATCTTCCCAGGTGGTAGTACCTCCCTGTTTGATAGCTGCCTACTACCTTTAATTAACTTTTGATGCTATTCTTGTTGATTGATTATTGTGGTCTTTTGTTTTAGGACTTCTTGGAGAGTTGTCGAGCCAGTACACTCCTGGCAGAGCTGACAGATGACGAGCTGCCTGATCCAGATGATGACGAGAATGACGATGATGACAACGATGACGATGATGAAGACTATGAGGAAGAGGAGGAGTGCTATGAAGTAACTGTAAGCTTATACACCACACATTTGTTCACCTATAACACTTATGACATTAATCAAATTTATGATCTGGTTCATAGAAATCCAGAGGACAACTATTTTTCCTGAATGACACCCCTAGGTTTCTTGTGACTGATTATTTTCATGCCAAAAATAAATCATAACACATGCAACCATTTTCAAAATTGAATTGAAAATTATAAACTCCCACAAAAGCTCTGGCTGTTTGGTTGAGATATTTGTGACGTCACTAAAGGAAAGAAGACTACCATCTTCAGTTATTAAAAAAAGAAAAAGAAAAAAAAAATCCTCATTTACAGTTAGACTACATCCGTTAAAGATTAACGTGATAAAACTACCTAAATTTAGAACAACTATATAGATAATGTTAATAAATATTGGTAACTGATTCATTATTTTTTTCATATAAACAAGTTTCGAAGAAAAGACGTCTTGGCAACCACCAGACTGAGGGAGACAAGGGACGTGGGTCACGTGGCCAGTTGTACTCAGTTACCATTCAGCTTTGATGAGGGGTGCATGTGTAAGGTTAATACCATATTAATTTTTTTAACTTTTATTTTTAAGTTGTAATATATTGTTTAATTCCCTAACTGTATAGATTTACATTATGTAAAGTTTTTGAATCAAAATTTTGATCTTTAACTTCACTGAAGCAACTACCTGTGTCATTAATTACCACTGACTTAGTAAACTATTGTATTGAGGCCTTCCTCTACTGACATTCTCCTTAGCACTAGGGGCTTGAAAGGGTTGCCAGACGTTATATATATTTTTTTTTGCCAGGGTTATACAACATTATTTTTAAGTTTATATCCAATTTATGGAAAGGACCAACAATAATACTAAATAAAACCCAAATGTGGCTGGAGTAGACCTTTATGTAAAATTGTTTTGGATTTAAATTTATTCTCATAGAAGTCTTGGTTATGGGTCCCCTCTGAATTATTGATGAGAAGTTGTTTTTTGCTGTCAGTAAACAAGAACTGTACCTGTGTCAAGTTTAAGATTGCCAAGCTTTTCCATGTTAAGCATTTAGCAAATACTGTATAGTGATTAGAGGAACTCTTTTTCTGTTGATAAGTCATCTGTTTTGTTATTTGTTTTTCTATACCCAAGTGTATATATTTTTTGCTAACATTTTAATTTTTATCTGTCAGTGTTTTATTCTGTTTTCCTCTCATTTTTGGGGGGATTTTTTATTAAATATACAGTATATATATTTTTTTACATGGAAATTTGCTATTTAAGATTTTTATGACCTATGTATCCTGACAAATGACCCTTTAAATACCATCACCTGGCAGCTCCAGGCTGAGTGGGAGGGACACATTATCCACGTGGACCTAAAGTCTCGATAGTCTCTTGACTGACTGAGTGAGAAGGCTGCTTGCTGCAAATCATTGTTCACTTGCATGATATGTCCTTTTCATTAAGTATTGCATGCCTCTTGGACAGTGGCAGCCTCTGCCTGGAATTGTTTGGTGATATCTCATAGGTTATAAACTTCATCATTTAATCATAAATAGGAATTTTCCCATTTCATTGCACAACATTTCTCTCTCTCTCTTTTTATTTATTTTGTTTATTTATTAATTTTGTACAGGAATACATTCATAACTTTGGAATGAGACAAAAACTTTAGATACTGTATGATTTAATTCAAAACTCTTTTTACCTGAACCCATGTTTTTAACTCGTCTTCATGAAATTCATGTCATAGTCAATACAAACAATGCTAATGTTTTTTTATCCAAGGCAAGTTTGTTTTGCCTTCTGTCTACATTTGTTAATATTTAAGGCAGAATCACAATCTCATAGTAGATTTAGATTACAAATCTTCAACAGGTTCGGAATGGCAAGAGAAGAGGTTGGGATGATGACTTTGTAATAAAGACAGTTTCAACGCTTATCCCAGCGTTTGATCCTCGGCCAGGCCGCACTAATGTCAACCAAACACAAGGTTAGTGTTACAGTCTATTTATGTGCTGTACATTCCGTAATGTGTTTTACATTAAAAACAGATTGATATGATATACTGTACATTCTGTATACCCTGTACATGTAGGTGGTGATGCATTATCTAAATAACACTGTGTTGCTTTTAACTTGTAGATAACCAATAATTTACTTCCAAGAGGAAATTAACTTATAAAGAGGGGTTATCTTAGTGTACTTTTGATTTTTATTTATTTTTCTGTAGTGATGAATCTAAGGATGGTCAAACTGCAGAATCCTGTTATGGAATTTTGCAAAATGCTCTTGTGATATTAGTTGAATTTAAAACTAGAAATTCTAAAGTGATACTAAATATGTCCAGTATCTCAAAAGAGGATCTGTCCTCACTGTATGAAACATTATGAGGCCATGCATTTACTTTGGTATTGTATATAGTTTTTCATAAGTAATGCTGTCTGCATTTATTTCGGCATAATTAATATAATGTTCGGTTACCAAATGTAGTAGGATTAGTATGCCACAGAGCCACGCATACCAACCCTCCCGGGACATCATAAGTTGCATGCAGCTTATCGAAAGTCATCGGACCCATCCTGGCAGATAATTTTTTGCGATACTCTACAAACTATATTCAATAAATTCCTCAGTGAGGAAGCCTGGGAATAAAATAATAAATCCCTTTTGTATAGAGGTACTGTGACAATAAGTTATAAGTAACCAACGTAAAGTCAGAATACATGAAATTTAGAAGTTTTATTTACGGCTAGGGAAATTAAGAGAAGTAATAGAAAAGGTGTAAATTAAGAGAGGTGATAGAAGAAAAATGAAGGTGTAAATTAAGAGGGTGATAGAAGAAAGAATGAAGGTGTAAATTAAGAAATGATAGAAGAAAAATGAAGGTGTAAATTAAGAGAGGTGATAGAAGAAAGAATGAAGGTGTAAATTAAGAGAAATGATTGAAGAAAAGAATGAAGGTGTAAATTAAAAGAAAGTGATAGAAGAAAGAATGAAGGTGTAAATTAAAGAGAGGTGATAGAAGAAAGAATGAAGGTGTAAATTAAGAGAAATGATTGAAGAAAGAATGAAGGTGTAAATTCAGAGAAATGATTGAAGAAAGAATGAAGGTGTAAATTCAGAGGTGATAGAAGAAAGAATGAAGGTGTAAATTAAGAGAGGTGATAGAAGAAAGAATGAAGGTGTAAATTCAGAGGTGATAGAAGAAAGAATGAAGGTGTAAATTAAGAGAAATGATTGAAGAAAAGAATGAAGGTGTAAATTCAGAGAGGTGATAGAAGAAAGAATGAAGGTGTAAATTAAGAGAAATGATTAGAAGAAAAGAATGAAGGTGTAAATTCAGAGGTGATAGAAGAAGAAAGAATGAAGGTGTAAATTAAGAGGTGATTGGAAGAAAGAATGAAGGTGTAAATTAAGAGGTGATAGAAGAAAGAATGAAGGTGTAAATTAAGAGAAATGATTGAAGAAAGAATGAAGGTGTAAATTCAGAGGTGATAGAAGAAAGAATGAAGGTGTAAATTAAGAGAAATGATTGAAGAAAGAATGAAGGTGTAAATTCAGAGGTGATAGAAGAAAGAATGAAGGTGTAAATTAAGAGAGGTGATAGAAGAAAGAATGAAGGTGTAAATTAAGAGAGGTGATAGAAGAATGAAAGTGTAAATTAAGAGAAGTGATGGAAGAAAGATTGAAAGTGTGAATTAAGAATGATGATAGAAGAGAGAGTGAAGGTGTGAATTAACCCTTAGTCTTTGGTTCACGTCCTGTGTCGTGTGTCTGTAGAGCTTCAGTTCATGTCACGTGAAGTTTTGATCTTTCATGGGCCTATTTGAATAAAAAGGGTAGGCCTGGCTAGATTATGTTGCCTTAACCCCAGAGATTAAGGAAGGTGATAGAAGAAAGAATGAATGTGTGAGAAAGATATGTAGTATGAATTGTTTAGGAGGACATGGACATGTGAAAGGGTTGGTGAAGGATTGGCTTGTCAAGAAAATTAACTAATTGTGTATAATGAAGGCATAATGGACAGGTAGCTTTATAAAGATGATTGGATGAATTAAATATTAAGGTGATGCAGTGGCAGTGGACAGTGTTGTGCATCAAGAAGAATGACTAGACACCATTTAGAAGTACAGGAGGAGTGTATGAAAGTAGAGGAGTAAATGGACAAGACAATCTCTTTGATGAATCAACTTTGTGAGTATGATTAATAGTGTTAAAGCATTTAGTGTAGAAATCTTAATTCAAAATATGATGAATGCACAAGGTTTTGCTTATGTTACTTGTATATTATTTGTCAATGAAGTGACCCATTCCCCAATTATGTAACTGTGTATTTTCAGCCTTTTTTCTGCTATGTTCTTTCAGTAAACTGCTAATTATTATTATTATTATTATTATTATTATTATTATGGTTGGTGTGCCCTATTTATTTGCAAATGGAGTAAGATTAACCATTGTGGCACTGCTATAGGGTGAGATAAATATTTATTTTGCTGAAATATAAAGATTAGATTGATTTACCACTTAAAGTGAACACTTTTCAATTTTGTGCAGTTATCTGTAAATTGTATTGTGTAAGTTGTATGTTGGACTAACTTAGTACAGGATCTTTAGCCTAATTTGCTCTCATATCCTGTATGGTGATTAGTGTTACCAGCTATATTTGTTATGGTTGATTTTTTTAAAGTACCCCTTGATCCGTTCCACGCATGAGTGAGTAAGAGGTAAAGATATTAGATAGATTGTACAGTAATGTTTAATATGTAATCTTTTCAGATCTGGAGATTCCAGCCCCTGGTACAGAAGACCATCTGTGTGATGCTCCTAGTGAAGTAGTCAGTGGCCCTCGGCTTAGTTTAACTCTACGTGGCCCCAATCTCCCTGGCATTCCTGAAGTTGAAGTACCAATAACCAAGAAAACTTCCACAATCTTTGCTGCCGTCCAGACTTTAGTCCATGCTGCCAATTTCCCTTCCCGACAAGAGAGACTGAGACGAATTTGGGAACCTACATACACGTAAGCTTATCCTCATTATTAGGCCTTTATATGATGAAAATAATCTCTTGATGCTATATGAATCATGGCATCAGGGTTGGTTTATACAGTATATTGGTAATTAAACTAAATAGGAAATTTCACCTATTTCTTGCATCTCTTGCAAGCAAGTTTCTAAATGTAAATAATGAATTAGTTTCAGAATATTAATGCAGTGATTATACACAGCATGATAAAAATTTATTTGGGCCATTGTTGTAAACACTCCCCACCCCCAAAATAATTGGTTTTTCTCAGATAAGGTCTTGATAGTACCTCAGCTGATGTGCTGCACAGTATTGAGTTGGGTTTTTGTCACCACTTGACACTGGTCAATAAAAAATTATTTAATTTTATGCGTCAGGTATTTGGCATATTTTTCCTTATATTGTATATCTCACAGTAGACTTATGCTTTGATATAGCGCCCACTGGTGCTATTCTCTACTCTTTATCTGGCTCAGTGATCACTCTCCTCTTGTTGCACTGGATTCATTTTTATACCTCACTTTACTCTTAGGGGCCATGGTTAAGGGCAAAGTACAAAGGAAATTTCATTAGGCATAGCCCACAACAATTATTTTTTTTGTTTTCCACTGCTGGCTTATTTTTAATTACATGGAGTAAAAAAAAAAAGGGTGTAATTTTAAGTTACTGGGTAAATGAAGGAGGTTAAATGGATTTTGTTACATGCACAGGAAGTTCTGGGATAAATAGGAAAGCTTTTAGGGTAATCAACCACAGTTCCTATTTCATTATTGATACTAAATAAAGATATGCTGTGGATTGAATCCACAAAGTCAGATTAATGTGCCAAGAAAGTTAATAGGTGTACAGATAATCTTGCTGTAAATACTGTAATCAGAACAGTGAAATTCAAATCCATGAATGTAAAGGATTCGCTGTACAGTATATAAAAATAAAATTTATGATAAAATGTGTTCATGATGAACCTACTTTTGATAGGCTTGTGTATGGAGAGGCCCGAGAGGATGAGGGAACTGAAGGAGAAACCTCTGGTGTCCAGCTACTCAATCGCCGTAATTCAAGGACTAATATCTTGACTGAGGCATCTGGCAGCTTTGCTCAGCCTCCCAGTACCCTGACAACTGGTGATCCATCTGTTGAAGACGTGTTACAACTCCTGCGCCAACTGTATATATTAGCACATGAAGATAAAGGTTTGCTTTATTAGCTATATAAATTGTCTTTGGTTCATGATAATGTACACAAATTATGTGAGGTTAGTTTCAAATAATGTTTATATAATAAACATTTTCAATTTAACAAAATAGAAGAAAGGGAATCACATACATCATTTGCAAAATGGTAGATAGGAAGGGTAGACAAACACTTGATGTGCAGTGATGTGAGAAAGTATTAAAATTAAATCTGTTGTTCATTGCATCAAATTTAAAAATTTAAGATTGAATGTTGCATAAAGTTTTATTGCAAATCTTCAATTCTCAGGTATTAATAATTATAAAAAAAATCAAATTGTCTGATGTTCCCACATTCATTTTAAGGATACACAGGATAACAATAAACTTATTGGACATTGGAACATATTTCCTCACATTCAATGACATTTAAGAGCTTTGGAAACCATCAGCTAAAGGTCTATTTAATCTGTTTGAGGTCTCTATTTTGTTTGGCCATGAATGAACCTGCTTAGCGTGAGGGGTGATGGTTCTTCAGCAATGATAGTGGATAGCATTTCATTGATTACCAGTACTCTTATGCATGTCAGGCAGTCGGTACTGATCAGCTTAAAATTATACAAAGGAAGGGAGACCCCCAGAGAATTGTCAGCCATCATTCTATCCAAAACTGTTATTGAGTAGTAAAACTCATATATCACTATTTTATAAGACTTACCAGTTTATTCCTCAGAAAAGTATTTAGTTTTTTCTCTTGCAGATAAATCTGGTCAGATTATAGATGCTTTTGGTGTTCGTCGTGAGGAGTTCGAGTCTAAAAAAGTTGGGAACAAACTAGTGCAACAGGTATGTACAAAAGAATTTTTTTTACTGTTCTGTGCATCTGGTGTATCTGCTCTCAGGCAGGGAAACCTGTGAACGCTTTCATCAGCACTTCATAAACAAATTCAGACATTTTATACACTTTTGTGTATGTGTAAACTGTCCTAACTCTCATTTTCTTTTTAATATGTGGGTGCTTTTGAAGATTCGGCTTTTGAGTTTAGACATTTGAATGTCCTGACTTGGTATCCAAAATGTTGGTCAAACATTGTATTCCTACATGTTTGTATCTACAGGTAGTTCTGCTATAACGCGATAATTGTGTTCTTGTAAAATATCGTGTTATAGAAAATCGCGTAATAGAAATAACAGGGCTTATGGAGAAAATAGGGTTGGGTGCAGATTACTCGAAATCGAAAAGATTTAGTAGTTAGCCTAACACAAAGGATATACGGTCTAAATAAATGTTACATTCATATCTAATAATGAAATCATACAGTAAATGTAACACTTTACTTGATGGGGAGAAAGGGTGATTTTGAGGTTGATAAAATCGAGCTTCTCTTCTAGTATATCCTTTCTTTCTGATCATCACCGCTTCTTGTTGATATTCTTCTTTACTATATTCACAAAATTGGAGAAATAGTAAGCAAAAATCGCGTTATAGCAAACAAGCGTTAAGCGTTATACAAATATCGTTCCTAATTCATAAATCGCGTTAGAGCAAATTCGCGTTATCAAAACACGCGTTATAGCAGAAATCACTGTACCCTGTCACGAGTTTGGACAAAAAAAGTGTCCATGATACAGTATAACTATGTTAGTACTGTACATAATATTGTGAGGATACACTTGAACTTTAATAATACAATTTTCATATTGCATTTCAGGTTGGTGAGGCTGTAGTGCTAGCATGTGGTGCACTGCCATCATGGTGTGAAGACTTAACTTATGCCACCCCTATGCTCTTCCCATTTGATACTAGACATCTTTATTTCAATTGTACAGCATTTGGTCCTGAAAGGTAGGATTCTTTATTTCTTTTATAGATTAATTCATAATCTATAATGTCTAGAAAGGTTACTACCATTTTTTTTAATATTTTATATATTAAGTAACAAGGGAACAAGGACATAAGAAAGATAAACTTGATATAAGTGTATTATAAAGATTTTCAAACTTTTAAAAAAATAATTTTTTTTTTTTAATAAAGATTTTCAGATGTTAAACAAATGTCTTAATTTCTTACCATACAACTTCGTAATTTCAGATCTTTAGTATGGCTACAGAGCCAGAGAGATGTGAGTGTTGAGCGACGTGGAGGGTTGAGAAGAGATGACCCTCATGAGTACGGTAGGACGTCTCAAGCATGAGAGAGTCACTGTACCCCGTGGCTCGAATCTTCTTCAGTGGGCTCAGCAGGTACCAGTTGAATTTTTATATTAACAATAGAACCTCATTCAACCGAAATTCTCAAATAACTGAAAAAAAAAATACAAAGTACAAATCATTTTCAAATAACCGTACTTGTCCAGAGACAACCGGGCTCCAATTCAGATTTCCCGTCATCCGCAGATGGGGGGGTGGTTCGGGATACTCTCATGGTAGTGCTGATGGATTTGTTTACAAGTGCATTGCTCCATGTGCCTGATCTGTGATCCCTCTTCTTTGGATTATTTTATCCATGTTTTTTGGGTGCAATGACCCTTAAGCAGTATAGTACAGCAAACCCCATATATAGCAGACACACTCTATAACGGACCTTGACTTTAACGGGCTCTGACTCGTTCGGGCTAGATTCATATATTTACAGCACACAGATGCTACCCACTCCTTCGCGATATTCACCTTTATTTTTGTATGATGGTGCTAGATTCAACTTCATTTGTATAATAGCATTGTAGAGCAATCATTATTTTGTGAAGTACACATCTAAAAAAAAATATGATGGAAAGTAATGTCAGCAACAAACTTTCATGCCACAATTGTCATCAGTTGAGCATGCCTTGCCCACCTTAGGTGGTTAATGTGCAGCTGTTTCCTACCTCAAGCAAAGCAAAGCATAGCATGATACAGTGGGGGTATGCTATAACGAATCTAATTGGTTCTAGAACCTTGTTCACATCGCATTCGCTCATGATAGGATTAATCCGCTCCAGGCCCCAAATACAACCAATTTAACACTCAGAAAATATAATATAAAATTGAAAAAATTGTAAAAAAGTGCATAAATATGCATCTAAACCCCTGAAATAAAGAATATAATTAATACTTGTAAAAAAAAACAATAAATTATTAAAAAAAACAAAAGAAAAAAATTTTGTTGTAGGAGTTTCGTCATATATATTTCCTATTTATAGGTAAAACCGTAGTTATAGGAATATTCGTAATAGAATCCATTCGTTATCGCATACCCCACTGTATTATGGTGTTGAAGTGCTTTAATATAGTAATATTGTAGTGTTGAGGTGCTTAAATACAGTTAGATGGAACAATTGGTTCAAAGCACTTCTGGGGAGGAGAGATTTCTGGGTATCCAGATGACTTTCTCAAACCCGAAAAATCCCTATTCCTGGATTTTTTCGATTACTGGGAAAAGTTTTTGAGAGTAAACTACGCATCAAGCATAAACAGACACTAGCCTACATCCCGAGAATGTTTCTGGGTGCTGGGGAAAGTTTCCCAAGAGTTTAATCTACCAGAGTCTGTAAAAGCAGTTTTAATTAAGTTGTCTCAGTCCTCCAGCCACTCACCCACCCTATTCCCACACACAATTCACTTCCCACTCTTGATTTTACTTATTTTATCGTTGATCTTCTTTATTGCCAAGTCACACTTGATGATTCAAATGATATTTCTACAACTTTTATGGTTTCTTAAGTACTGCATTGTAATAATGGCATGTGCACATCCTTCTCACAGCCAAAAAGCACCTGTGTGTTATGGTTATTTCTAGAATATATCCTTATAATCTTATTTTATATCTTTATATTACTGTACAATTTACTGTATTTTCCTCATTCATGAGGCATACTTGCACATTGAAATGACTTCTGCAATTTTTTTTAGTTCCTACATAACATTGGCATGAGTGCCAAGTGTTTTGTGAAATGGAAGACAAAAGAATATAGTGTACTGTATTATCATTCATACTCTATATTTTTTATATTCTTTTAAGGAATTATCAGCTTCCAAATAGACTGTACAAGTATTTATTTATTTTTAATTTATTTATTTTTTATTTAAGTATGAATACAATGATGTTTTCTTTATTCTATTATTCAGGAAGTAAAACAAACAAGGAATTAAGTTTATGTGAGTTGTGAAAGCAAACCCTGATGTAGCCATGGAAGAAAATTTAACTTAATCCAGGGAAAAAAATTTGGGTTTGAGGATCTCCATTTTGAGGGTCTTTACCTGTAGTATTTTTTTTATTGCAGGTGATGCGTGTCCATGCAAGTCGCAAGTCCATTTTGGAAGTTGAGTCTCGTGAGGAAGAAGGTACTGGTCTTGGCCCTATTTGGAATTCTATGCTCTTGTGGCTGGAGAATTGCAAATTGCAACTTATCCATGTGGTTATGTGATGACCAAACAGCTGACCCAATCACTCCTCCAGCACTAAGGCGGCAGTGGTACTGGAGAATCACAAACAAGACCCCCAGGTTACTATATCTGGCGACAAGGAGGTCTCTCTTTCCCTCCCTCCCAAGATAGCACAGCTTGTGATCAAGTAGTTGAGTTATTCCACTTCCTGGGGATATTCTTGGCAAAGACTTTACAGGACAACAGACTCGTTGATCTGCCTTTGTCTCGTCCTTTCCTCAAGCTCATGTGTCATGGTGAGTTTGCCAATGTGAAGGACCGAGGCATCACTGGAATTTCCACTAAGCCCCGAGGACTTTCTTCCTTACCTGTAGAGGAGGACCTCATGACCTCCTCTATAATAAGTGAAGAGAGCGAAAAAGAGCTGGAGCTGGACCCGCCCAAATATCGTGTCGCAGATACTCATCCATGGTGAGGATAGTTATTGTTTCCACAAAACTTTTTGATGTTGACACTGCCATTTATAAGTTTGCCAACAGTCTGTCACCCTTCTTCCTCACTTCATATTTTCCCCCTCTTTCAAGTGTATTTTTTATTCCTTTTAATCTGAAACGGGATAAATCTTCATTAACCAAATATTACATTTAGCAGTAGCTCAAAGTATTCTTCCTCTCCCCATTTCCTCCTTTTTTTCACAATATATCCTTCCTTTTATTTTCAACTGTTATTTACATTTGTTTTCATGAGTTTCTCGGTTCATTCACTGTCTTTCAGTACAAATTTTTGTTCTCTTTAAAACTTTGTATTCATTGTCAGTCTGAATTTGCATACCTACACCATTCGTTTTACCCTCTTTTGAATATCCAATAATCCTTTCTACTTTGACCAATTTATAAACAGCTGATGCTCATTTAATATACTTTTCTCCAAGCTTTGCCAGCTTCTCATGCCACCATACATTTTTCTTATTTTTATTTCCTAATTTCTTGTACATATACATCTCAACTGCACTTTTTAACTGCTTCCAATCTTATTCAACTCCATTCTTACTTACATGTAATAATTTTCTGTCATCATTCCTGTATAATAAATTCTTTCCAGGTTCACCGGCTCCAACTCTGGAAGATCTGTGTGAGGTAGATCCTGAACGAGGAGCATTCATGCAACAGCTCAAGTCCCTGGTTTCCATAAAACAGCAGATCCTCAATGACACAATCCTCTCCGATGAAGATAGGCGCCTACAGCTCCACAATTTGGCCTTGCCATCAGCTCCTGACACCCAAGTAGCAGAGCCAGCAGCAGTTAGATTAGAAGATCTTTGTCTCACCATGCAGTATGCTGCTCCTTCTAGACACCTGGGATATACTGCAATTGAGCTTCAGACAGGTGGAACTGATCAAGAAGTGACCCTTGCCAATGTGGAAGACTACATTGACCTTACTCTCACCTGGGCTTTAGAAGTGGGTGTTAGAAGACAGTTGGATGCTTTCCGTGCAGGGTTTTGTGTGGTGTTTCCTTTGAAGAAATTGGGTGCATTTAGCCCAGATGAGCTGAGACTTATGCTGTGTGGTGACCAAGCACCCATATGGACTCGTGAGGATATCTTGGCATTCACTGAACCAAAGTTAGGATATACTCGAGAGTCTCCTGGCTTCTTGAGACTAGTAAACATCCTTGTAGGATTAACAGCAGAGGAACGTAAAGCCTTTTTACAGTTTACCACCGGCTGTTCTTCATTACCACCTGGTGGCCTTGCCAATCTTCATCCTCGCCTTACTGTAGTTCGCAAGGTAAGAGTCTTCACTGTCGTTGAATTGCATAGAATTTTAAATAATAGTTTTTTAAAGTATGTATAATGTCCATTCTTACATACTGTAAAACAAGTAGTTATATGGGCTTTTGTTTATCTGATTTAATGCAGAGAATGGCTTACCAAATGTAAAGTAGAGAAACTATAAAAAAATGGTAATACCTTAAAATAAAATAAATCACAGAACATTTGCAATTAGTGCTGTTATTTTTTTTCTGCAGGTTGATGCAGGAGATGGCTCCTACCCATCTGTAAACACTTGTGTCCATTACCTGAAGTTGCCAGATTACTCCTCAGAGAACATAATGAAGGAGAGGCTTCTCGCTGCTACGCGGGAGAAGGGCTTCCATCTCAACTAATCTCTAGAAAACTATAAGGACTGTAGACTCAGGTTTAAATAATAGAGTTTTCAAAACCCTAATGAAAACCTAGAAATTGCCGATTGTACTTGTGAAAAATTACTCACAAGTTAGAGGAAAGAAATATCTTCTCATTTATAGGAAAAATAAAAATATGATTATAAATTCATTTATTATTATTATTATTATTATTATTATTAGGAGGGAAATTTTTCAGTGGAGACAGTTTGAAGTTGTATAAAATATTTATAATTATGAAAAATATAATTTTTTATACTGTCTTTGAACTGATTTGTATACTTATCTTAGTACCTAGACTAGGTAAGTACTGTAGTTCTAAATATGGAATACATATTTACAAAAAAATACTTGGAAAATGTTCATATGGGACTTGAACAGTGCAAATTTTTTCGTGATACTTTACCAGTTACAAAATGTGGAAAAAACAATATAAATTTAAATGGTTAAAGAACTGAAAACTGTGACATTGACTGAACACTTTAACAAAGGATCCAGGAAATTGTTCTTTTAACAAATTGTTGTGCTAATAAGAAAATAGTACACAAAATGACAAGAGAATATGTATGCCTTTCCAAGAGGTTGCTTGAGAAAGTGCAAATATACACAACAAAGTGCAGCACTACCTAGTGAGTGAATGACTTGTATGAGTGCATAGAGCCATTGGTCATCTTTGTGTCTGTACAAGTAAATGTGGCCTATTTTCTAGCCAAGTGAAATGTGTGAGAAGAATGTGGATGTTGGTGCCAATCTGCATAAACGTTTCCCAAGAACAGGTATTTTTCATGGTGTAAAAGTGACATGATACTTGCATTTCTCTTGTCCTGACAGGTAGTGATAATATGTAGGCTGACAATGGCCAGTTGTTGTTTTATGTTGTCACCATTAGCTTATGTCTTTCTGTGATAACTGATGTGAAGGCATTGCATAGGCAGCAAATTGTATATAATTACATCACAAAGCATGCCACTGTTATAGTCGTGTGTCTCTATGTAGCAACTAAGCATTCAAGATTCTGATTGGAGGTTTTACTGTTGAGTAGGTGGTCGTGTGGTTGAGTAACCATTCTATAATACATGGGTCTGCTGTTAAGTGTCGGCTATTCTCACCTCGGCTTGTTAGCAAGGATCTCATGATAATTAACCATAATAAGCCCAATGTAGTAAATGCTTGAGTGTGTGATTTGATATATTGTTATAATCCATCCCAAGCATATTTCTTCTCTTGTCAACATTTCTGAAACTTAAACATATGGACATAATGGTCCTTGTCCTGAAGAGTCTGAGCTAGTTTTTGGTAACCAAGACAAGGCATTGACATGGTCTGTAGTTCCACTAAAAAGATTAGATAATTGTATACAGTACAGGTATTAGTCTCAAGCATGCAGGGTCAGATCATGCCATATTTGTATTTGAATCATTATTGGTGGCTTGACTATTGAATTGAGCTTTGTGCACAAGTTTGTAACATAGCTCCTTCTCTGCAATGTCAGTAGTAAGTTGGGACAAAGTAGTATGGGATTACAGGCTGACAACTCTTGATCTTGTCATGAAGGTTGTCATAGTCATGCTCTGTGTTGTGCCTTATATTTTTTTCCTTCACTTTTTTCTATTTCTTGATAATTTTGTTCTTTATATTGTATGGATAGTTGAAACCATGTGTATGAGTTTAACAGTGCATTCTAATTATTGTTAATCATATTCGTGAGTAAAATTTGGATAATATTTCATGAAATTATTGGCTGAATTTTTTGGGAGAAGATACTTCACAATACTGTAAAGAATTTGATTTTCTTAAATTTCAAATTTACAATGAAACAGAAAATACTTGTTCAGATGCAAGAGCAAAA